GGGCCCCCCCTACCTCGCCCCCCTACCTCGGCCCCCCCTCGCCCCCGCTCTTCAGTGTCCGGTTGTTGCCGACGGCGTCTACACGGTGTCCGCTACGGGACTCAGATTGGTGCACGGAGACGTTTGCCTCAACACGACCGCATTCATACCTGACACGAACGGCCGGGGCCAGGTACTTACCCCTGGTGCTGCTGTCTCTTGCGAAGGGGGGAGGGGAGGTATTCGAAGGGGGGGGGGGAAGTGAAGATTGTTTTGGGGTGTTTTGCTGTGGGGTTGCAGGGTTGGTGTGAAGGGGTGGTGGGATTGGTAAATAATAAACACAGGTAGTAGTAGTAATATTAATGATAATATCTATAATAGTAGTAGTAGTAGTAGTAGTAGTAGTAGTAATGTAATAATAGCAATATGACAGCTTCCCTGATATCTCCCCAGCCAACCAGTCCCCCTCGTGCTCGCCCCCTTCCCCCAGTCCACGGCCTCCGGGGATAGCGGCCGTGGCCGCCGCACTTCCACCAGCCACGGCGGCTGGGTGACAGTGCTGGTGCTGCTGCTGGTGTTCGGGGTGCTGGCGGGCGGGGCGGTCGCCTGGTGGCGCTACCGGGCCACGGACGATCAACAGGAGACTGTACGGGAGATGGCGGGCAGCGCGGCGGCGGCGGTGGCCTCCGCTTGGGGCCTGCTGGTGGATAAGATCCGGGCGACCCGGTAAGAGTATGGACCAGGGTTGGTGGTGTGTGGGGTGACAGGAAGGAATCGCGTGCAAAGGCCCCACGGAGACAAGTACCTACCTATCCACCCACCTACCCACCCACCTACCCACGCACCTACCCACCCACCTACCCACCCACCTACCCACCCACCTACCCACGCACCTACCCACCCACCTACCCTACCTACCTACCCACCCACCTACCCACCCACCTACCCACCCACCTACCCACCCACCTACCCACCCACCTACCCCAGTATGAACTCATCCATTCGGGCGGCTGAGTGGCTTTGTTCTGCCCAGCACAATATTATCACAACCACCAAGAAGAAGTGGAAGGGAAAGGCAAACCTAACACCTTGTCAGGCACACCTAACAGCTCTTCATCTTCCGCTGTGCCGTACAGGTACCGCTATTCGTCCCCTGCCCAGGGGGCCTCCTCGGGTGAGGAGATGGGGTACTTCCAGCCCCTGGGGGACCCGGGGTACGACGTGGAGGGCCGGGGAACCATCTTCACACTCAGATAGACGCAGCCACCTCTTACCTACGGACATACATACATACATCCACATCCCCGCGCGACCAGACACGCAAGGCGCACAAACATAACCCCCCTCTCGCCCACCGGGCAGCAGTAGGGAACGCCATGTCCTCGCGGGTGCGCGGGAGAATGGGGTTCGGTTTCGGAGGCGGTTAGGGAGTGGTATGGGTTTTAGGGGAGGATCGGGTGGGGAGGTGTTCTGGGACTGTGGGCGGTCGTGAGGCGCAGCGGGAGGTGGAAGGGGAAGGGGAGGAGAAAGAGAAGGCCAAAGCATGTGCGTGAAACAGTTCCCTGGTGGTTGACTTGTGACCATGTAAGGGTGCCATACACCAGCAGGTTGGCAAGGAAAGGGCCAACGCAGCGCAAACGTGGCCCTCCGCGGTGGGGTGGATTTGCCGACTGGGGGGAAGGGGGAAGAGTGCTGTAGGATGAGAGGGAGGGGTTGCTGCCCTGTGTGGTCTTGACCTGTGACCACAGGAACAGACACGAACTAACACGGCGACAGGACCTAGGGGCGGCTGCGGGGTGTGTGTCTCTAACGGGGTTACGCGGGAGTGATGTGGGTTTATAGCCAAGGGCTGTGTGCGGCCAGCAGGAGCACTCATTATATTCAGGCTGTGTTGTGTCAGGGGGGGTGGAGCGGGAAGAAGAGGGGGGAGGATGAGGAGGAAGAAGAAGAGGCGGCTGTTAGGGTGACGTGGGTTTGAGTTGCCAGGCAGGGAGTCTTAGTGGGCAGCTTTATTGATACTGATTGCGCCGCGCCGCCCTCCTCGAACGGCGATGTGACTGACGATGTCTGGTGACGATGACCGCAACGGGGCAGCATTGAACCACGCAAGCCTGGTGAACTGCATTAGCTGGTGGTAGTGGTCGTTTCAATGCTATTTAGGAAATGCTGGTGGCAGTGTTTTTGTGGTAAAAAAAGTGTTAACTTTTAAGTACAGTATTGGTACATGCTTGTGTAATGTTTTTTGTGTTTGTAAGTGGTTTGTACGATATTCCCGTAGGTTGCGATCGCCACATCTCACCTATCGTCTCTCCGACCCTTGTGTAATCTTATTTAATCGGCACCGTACGGCATACGTCATGCTAAGCAATCCATAATAGACTCTCTCCCCGGAAAACACCAACGCCGGTTTTCAAGCCGACCGCACCATCAGGGGAACCTTCACCTGTGAAAATCATCGAATGTACATCAAAACCCCCCAGGCGCCTGTACGACATGCCATCGCCTCATTGTCCAACAGAACTTCCTTCCACAAGGCTGAAGTCTTGTGTCAAAAGATAGTGTACGAACATGTACGAATACGTTATGGTTTTATGGGTTTTACGGGTCTTCTCAGGAAAATTTGCGAAAACATGTGTTTCCCCCTTCACTAGCGACCAAAGATTCGAGTCAGTTCGTGAAAAAAGTTTGATAAGCATCCTTTGTGTTCTTCCGAGGACCTTGCGCTGTGGGACTGGGGATACTAAAGGCGCGGGTGGGAACGGGCAGGAGGAGGGGGAAGGGGGCGAAAGGGGAGGGGAAAGGGGGATACATGCGTGTCGGGAATTCATACGTTGGGTGGGATAAGCAGGGACCATGCGTGGGTTAGTTCTTCCAGGGACCTTGCGCTGTCGGGCTGGGGACACTATAGGAGCGGGTGGTCCTGAAAGTTACTCTATTTCCTGCGGCAGATGACGTATGACGCGAGATGCCACGACGAGCCAGGATGTCATAAGTCATCATGCCTAATGTGCGAACTGCAATTCCAATCCATCGGTTCGACGAGGCTTTCTAAGGTGAGGCTTTCTGTGTTGCCATTATGATGTGTGAAATAGGGGGGTGTATCTTCGCCCGTGGCAGCTACCCTGCGAAACCCTGCCTTCCCCGGTATTCCGGGGCACCCTCATCCAGTCACCCTAGTCAACTTCTCAGTGGATCGCTCAGGTTCCGCACCCACCACCAGCACCCAACGGAATCTGCCGGGTCGACAGCGGCCCAACTCCATTCCTGGTCGGCCCGTAGATTAACTTTATCCCAGGTCACCACCGTCCATCACTTAGGGGCGCAATGCCTTCCACCATCGGAAGGACTTTGACCCTAATGGGTATCGATCCCGTCTCCCGGGGGCAATGGTCGCGCCTTACCAGTAGTGCCAAACCCTATTGGCTGCTGACGGTCCCCGATTTGCAAGACGGTTGAGACAAGCGACATACAAGTATCGCTTGTCCATTTGTATTATTGCTGTCGCGACGACGACAACACGACGACAGTCTGACTGCCACATTACAAATGTTTCTAACAATATGCCTGCAGTTGAAAAACTAAAACTCAAAAATGCCATGAGGGGCTTATGGGTTTTACGGTTTTTTCAGGTTAATTTGCAAAAACATGAGTTTCCCCCTTCACCAGTGATTCGAGTCAGTTGATGAAAAACACACGACGAGCATCCTTTCAAAATACGGTATCCACGGATACTTGTTATGGGTGGTGCCTCAAAGATTTGCTGTACTTTTGAGAGCTGTGAATGGGCAGCTAGGGTGTCTAGCTGCCCGCTGCCTAAAGGATGCATGCACAGCAGCTGCGGCTGGGAAAAAGCGCTAATCCAGCCACCAAACGGCCTTCCGACAGTCTGACTGCCACATTGTGATGTTCGAAAGGGAAGGGCCGATCCTAAAATATTGCAAAGTCCCTCAATCCCCGAGTCCCTTGTTCACGCGCCTACAACCTGCTTTAATCCCTAATCCCTTAACACCTAATTCTTTCCTGCAACATCCCATAACAATCCTTTCCCCGCGAGAGCGATTCCAACGCATAAAAAACGCCCCGTCCCATTCCATCCCACCCTAACGCACGAAAGCCTGACACGCAGGAATCCCCCCTTCCGTCCCCTCGCATACAGTCTCCTTCAGCATTCCAACCTACTGCTTAATATTCTTCAATCACAAAAAACATTACCTCTGTTTTATAGATAGTAATGATTTCAAGAAGCGGTCAACTTCATGCAAAGTTGCCGCTCAACCGTCGAATACGTCTAGGCGTGCGCTTAACACAGCCCTGCCCAAGGGCAAATTCAACCTCTTTTGTATGTAAGGAATTCTGCAAAGGATTTAAACTACTCTTTGTTGTGAGTGGGCGGACGGGTGCGATCGAGACGGTGCTGGCAGAACTAGCCGAGGCGACTTTGATATTGGCAGCTACGGCAAGGAAGTTCTGGCTCTCGGTTGTCCCCATCCTTGCCATGGAACTAGTGCTGAGCCTTTACAGCAATTCTACTACTCCGCAAGAACACAGCACGCACAGCAGGCTTAGCAGCGACAGCTGCAAGCAAGAACAGGCATCCTACACACTTAGTGCTAAGAGGACATTTTCAGTATTTACTTTCTGTGCGTATATCTATGCGATAGTTAACTTCATCAAAGCATCTGTAATCATAGCTTTGCGCAACGATATGCTTTAGACCAATATAACTAGATGCAGATAAAAAGAACACATCGCCTTGATGGAACACGAGGCCGAGGTGTATAGAAGAGACCATCTGCACCGCGGGAGAGATGCAAGGCGCGCAAAACATTTTTGTGCGACCCTACTTGTTGGAAGCATGAAACATTTTACCAATATTTCGTTTTACGTAACGTTCAGGTCCAACAAGAGAAGTCGAAGCCGCAGCTCTCAGCGCGCTCGTGTTAGGAGCGTGTTACGTTTATTATTGCTCAATTCCGATGATTCCGAGGGAGAGAAAGGTAGACAATATTTATAAATAAAACAATACAAAATCCTCGATTGATTGTTCCTTGATAACCCGTCGACACGCACAGGTGATGCTCAGCTCTCAAGGTCAGCAGTGTCCAGACCAGCTGTGTCCCTAATAGATGCCCCAGGCGATACACCGCCTCTGCAACACGGAGCCGCTTCTTCTGGGCACCCGGTTGTGGGGCTTCTTTCAGCAGATCCATGTCGTGTCCCAGCTTTGCGCTTGTCAAACGCAAGTTTTGTGGCGGAGACGCCTGACGCAAGCCCTCTTACACATGACGAAGGCGTCCCCGCTACACCTACGGAGGAACTGGGCATCTTCCTAGCCTGCGGAGCAGCCTTAGGTCCCCACGCCCAACTCGATTACACCTCTGCACGCGATTCGCAGCTGCTATACCATGAACAACAGCGTCAACCAGTCGAAGCCCAGCAACACGAACAACAACCTGATCCAGAAGCGAAGTGGACAGCACATCTAGCAGCGGCGTCAACCTTGCTGGAGCCTCAGGCCCGCTGTTGGGTCCAGGACCCTTCATCCATTACAGGACGCAATACCTTTCAACAGCCACGGCCCCCACAATCATCACCACGGAGCCGAGCTGGGAATCCGCAGGGTTCCTTTCCCGACTACATCGGAATTGCAGCTGAGGCCCCCGCAGCGGAGCTCCCCCTGCGACCCACATCACAAGTCTCCTGGCAGGCCAGAGGAGCCCCCGCAGTAACGGCAACGCTGGAGACAGCCGGCGCCAGCGTACCCCCAACTACCAGTGTCAGTGTCTACGAGCCCCGTCCTCGGAGCCCGTCCTATCGGTCGTCCTCACGACCCACTTCTGCAAACGCTGCAGCAGCTTCCCCCAAGCTTTCGGCGCTTCCTGCCGTTGCTCCTGCACCGAGTGCCAAGAGCGGCCCCGGCTTCGCTTCCCTCACCATGACCCGTGGGAGCCCCGTGGCCACCGGTACCGGCAGGGTGGCTGCAGGGCGGCAACCGGGTGGCAACCACATCGTGGTGGACCCACGTCGTGGCGCCATGGTGTGCAGTCCCACTGCTCGGGTGCCGAGCGCCGGCAGCGGTCAGCCGCGGAGTCCACCAGGTGCAACATCAGCATCAGCACCTGGGGGACAGCAACAGCTGCAGGCGCTGTCGACGTCGCCCTCTCGGCATCAGCATCCGCCGTCCGTTAATCACTACCCGGGTCTGGCCTTAGCGCCATGTAAGCCCTCGCCGCGCGGCGTGGAAGGGGAGCTGGCGCCAGTCGCCGCCAACGTCGGTTCCACTGCTGCCGACGGAAGGCCGTCGCGTGTCCGGGTGCTGAACTTAGGGGTTTCCAACAGGTTGCACACGTACGCAGTGTCGCCCCATGTCGGCGGTGAACAGGACCAGGCGCTTCCCGGGACTCGAGTATCCGCCGTGGCCCTTCCGGCGTTTCAGCACTTAAGAGCGACGGGGGTCATGGTCGCTGGGGCTGCCGCTGGCTCCTCCGCTGCGACGCCGCTGCCGCCTGCGCTCCGGCAGCAGGCGACGGCGGCGGCGGCGGCAGCGGCACCAGCGGCACAGGACCGGACGCCCGCGGGTCAGCCGTTGCGGGGCGTGTACGGCACAGGGGGGTGTACTGTGCCGCCGAGCAGCGCCAAGAGCACCCCGTTCGATGAGGAGATGCTTGCGGTGCTTGACTCCCTCGAGCGTCGCATCGGCAATGCCGCCGCCGCCGCCGCCGTACATGGGGCCCCCGTGCCCTGGGCGCCGACGGCGGCAGCAGCAACGAGGCCTGGGTTTTGCACCGAGGCTAATGTTCTACCGCCCGCGTGTGACGGCGGTACTGCTGGCGGAGGCATCGGGCCCTCATGCGCCCCGGTCGTTACTGCCCTTGAGCTCATACAGCAAGAACAGCAGCAGCTGCAGCAGCAGCATGAGCAACAACAGCAAGAACTCCAGCGACACCAGCAGCCTCAACATGGTCAGCCACAGCAGCAGGGGCTGCCACAGCAGCATTCATGGCCGCTGCCGCCATGGCAGAAGCAACACCAGCAGCAGCTCGCCAATAAGCCACACGAAGCCGCCCGTCCCCTTCCAGAAGCTTCTGGGTCGGCCGGCACGGAGCTGCAACGCGCTCCCTGCGATCCTCCGTCCACCGCTGCGACAGCTGCTCCAGGGAACGTTGTTGAGACGGGTGTGACGCCTCAGGCGGCGCTCCGCGGCGTCTTGCAGTCGGCGGTAGCGGTGGGGGCGACACCCGAGCTGGAGTCCGCGGGTTTGCTCGCGGCGTTGGACGCAATTGAGGAACGACACCGCCTCGCTGAGGCCGCCGCCGCCGCCGCCGCTGCTGCCGCGGAGGCTGTGAACGGCGGTGGGGGTGGTGCAGGCCAAGGCGCCAACGAACCCATCGGCAACGGGGCCGGGACCGGCACCGGGATTGGGGTTGGTGCCGCTTTTCATGTCCGGGAGTCGCCACTACCCGTGAAGCAGCTGGCGTTTACACCCCTACATGCTGCCGTACATGCCGCCGTACAGCAACCGCTCGGCTGGCAGTTGCAGCAGCAGCACCTCCACCACCATCCCCAGCAACAGCAACTTCAGATGCAGCCGCAGCAGCACCACCAACAACAACAGCAACAACAGCAACAACAGCAACAACAGCAACAACAGCAACAACAGCAGCAACAGCCCAGACCGGCGGTTGAGTTGCAACCTCCGGGCTCAGAGTGCGGAATGAAACAGCCGCGTGCGGCTGTGGTGACATCAGGGCTGCCACCCCGACCGTCGTCAAACACCTCCGCGCCGGGTGGTCCACCGCTGCACCACCCAGTACAGGCCCCGCAGCAGCAGCAGCAGTACCAGTACCAGTACCAACAGCACTATCCATACTTGGAGCATCGGAAGCCGAACGCGCACGAGGACGCTGTCGGGACGGCGGACAGGACTTCCGCGGTTTCCGTGGAGATGGAGCGGCGCCGCAGTGACGGGGAGCGGCTACAGCAGCAGCAACATCAGGCAGATGAGCAGGGGCCGAGGCAGCAGCTGCAGAAGCAACATCAGGCAGATGAGCAGCAGCACGTTCAACAGCAGCAGCAGCAGCATCAACAGCTGATGCAGGGGCAGCAGGTACAGGATCCCCAGGCGCCGTTGCGGCACGAACACCACCCGCTTCCTCAGGGAATGCCAGGCCCGGCCCAGGCCGCGGTCGCCGCCGTGGCGGGTCCTTTGCGCGGGGGAGGGGGGGCTGCCGCACCCGCAAACGAGTGCGACGCGACCTGCGCAGGCGCCGCGCCACAAGCCGGAGCTGCTACCGCCGTGGGCATTGCCGTACATGGCTCTGTTACAGCGCCTGGCGGCATGGGCCGCGGCGGCGGTGGCGGCAGCGGTGACGACAGCAGTAGCAGCAGTAGTGACGATGAAGAGGCGGAGCACGCGGAAGCTTACGCGGCGCCGCTGACGCAGCGGGCCCTGGTGGAGGGGCATGTACGGCAGGGACGGAGCCAGCGGCCGTCCAGAAACCTGCTTGCCTCGATGGCAGCCGCCTCCGGCGAAACCCCGGAAGGGAATGGCGGGCGCGGCGGTGATGGCGGCGACCTGCAGGCCGAGGTGGCGGACGTGTGCGGTGTTGCCGGCGGTACGGCGGAGCTGGTGGACGAGCCGCCGCCGCCGCCACCGGCACCCCCGCGGCAGCTGGAGGCGTACCTACCGGCGCCGCTGTGTCAGGCGTACTACGAGCGTGGTGGCGGCCGCTTCGAGCTGTACGAATGGCAGGTACGAGCATAGAAACACGGGCAGCCACCCGTGCTCTTTCCTTCTCCCCTGCCCTCATATGTATGTATATCGCTATCGGGATCCAAAGGCTGGACAGACACTCGTGCTTTGACAGACGTCAGCCGACACAGCTTCTCACACACACAGACACACACCTCATTTGCTTTCTCCATACCATTCTCGTCATACCGGGGAACCTATGATTCCCTCCCTCTCACCCTCACGCACCTCCCTGTCAGCCCCCCACTATACCCACCCCCACCCCACCCCGCCCCGTACTTGACGCTGCTTCTCTCCGCAGGCGGAGTGTCTCTGCCAGCTGGGTGTGCTGATGGGTCGCAACCTGGTGTACTGCGCACCTACAAGCGGCGGCAAGTCCATGGTGGCGGAGATGCTGGGGCTCAGGCGCCTGCTTACCACAGGTGGGGGGAGGTGAGGGGAGGGGCGGGGTGTCAGGGGCGGTGGGATGTCAAGAATGGGGAGGGGAGAGGAGGGGAGCGTGACCCAAACAATGAGGAGGGGTGCTGTTGTTGGACCCAATTGTTCTCTGGGAGGTCTTAGGAAGGCCCCCACCATGACTCACCAAATCTACTGCTCCCTATAGGGTTAGGGGTTAGGGGGCCAACTGGTAAGGGCGACGGCGAGCCAAGCGGTCGACCTTGTGGTGTTTATTTGCCTTCACGGCAACTGAAGACAAATCCCACCCCACCCTAACCCCCCTCCTCCATCTAGTCCTGGAGTACCCGTCTATTTCTGTGGTATGAGCAATACTCGTCTGTGGTTCAGCCACCCACCCACCCGCCCACCCACCCCACCCTTCCCCACCCACCCACATCCCGGTATCTGCTCATTCTAAGGTGGTAAATGTCCGTGATCTGCGAGGGGGTTGGGAGCCTTCTTTAACCTGCTATATCTACCTTCCCTGCCCTCCCGCCCGGCCCCCCTCCTCCTTCAGCTGCACCCCCTCGCGGTTCGTCTTTCCCCCCGCCCCCTCCTCCTCCCCAATCCCCGTGTCAGGGAAGCCCTTCCTGTTGGTGCTGCCCTTCGTGGCGCTGTGTGCGGAGAAGGCGGAGGCGCTGGGGGCCCTGCTGGCGCCCTTGGGCAGGGGGGTCAACTGCGCGTACGGCGGTCAGCAGAACGGCAAGATCATACAGCCCGGAGTGGGTGAGTGGCGGGGTAATGGGCAGTGAAGCGCAGCTACACAGCGCAGCTACACAGCACAGCGCAACAGTCGCCAGCCGCTCCGGGAAAGGGTTTCTCGTAATAGCTTATAGCCATGCAGCATGCCAGACCGCGCCTCGCAACATCCTTCTTTCCCCCAACATACCGCTTTCATCCTAACTGCTTGCTGTTCCCCCCTCGCTGACACCCCGGTTATCATTATCAGTATTCCTGTCCTTACGCTTATTCTTCATTTTATTATTGTTGTTATTCTCTCTTGGAAATCTGGGAGCCCAGGCACGTCGCGCTGAGGCGCTTCGCCCTGAAGCGAACGAGGGAGGACGATGATGGCAATACCAATACAACGTCCATGGCCCCCCCGGCTTTTACGGACACACAGCCGTACTTGTGTGCGGAACTTGTAACTTGTAACTTAGGGTTCTTATCCTTGTTCGCATTATCGTTATCCTTATTGATTAATCAGATTCGCAAAATTCCTCCTCCTCCCCGTCAACCGCCCTCCAGGCGCAATCGTGGCCACCATAGAGAAGGCCAACATGCTCGTGAACATCATGTTGGAGGAGGACACGTTGGGGGAGCTGTCGGCGGTGATAGTGGATGAGCTGCATATGGTGAGGGGCGTGGGGAGAATGCGGGTAGAGAAGAAGGAGGAGGAGGGGGGGTGCGGGTAGGGATGGCGAGGGAAGGAGGACGATGATGATGGCGGCGAGGGGGCCAGGGAGGAAAGGGTTTTGATTTAAGAAACGGTGATCATGATGATGCGGCGAGGGGAGCGGGTTTAGGGTTTTCCTGTCCTTTAAGAGGAAACGGTCTTAAACGGGCTTTCTTCTAGGAGGGGTTGTGAATGAGGACTGGCAGGAAATGGTTTCGGAGCTGGCCCAAACTGAAGAGAAGGACTTGGGCGGGGTGGCTTATCATGAACCGTTCTGTTACTAGTGTCCGTCTGTCTGTCCGTCCGTCCGTCCGCCCACCTGGCTGGCCCCACCACTACGATAGAACTGCTATTGCGGGTCCCTGCCTGTTGTCATGTTGTTGTTGTGCTGTCCTAGGTGGGTGAGGAGGAGCGCGGCTACCTCCTGGAGTTGCTGCTGACCAAGCTGCGGTTCGCCACCTCGGCGTCTGCGGGGGAAGGTGGTGGTGGTGGTGGCGGTGGTGGTGAGGCGGAGGAGGTGCCCTTCGACTGGACCGCCGTAGGGCCGTCGTACCTGCGTGAGGGGCTGCAGGTAGGGGGGTTGGAGACGTGGAGGGGGGGACGAGGTGGGGTGGGGGGTGGGGTGGGGTTGGGCCTTGGGGGCCGGGAAGTTGCCGGAATCATCACCCTCTTCCTTTCCCCCCTCTCACCGCCGACTGGTTAGGTATGCTTTCTTTACGTCTGCCTCAGCAGTCTTTCCTGGCATCAGCTTCACTCGCTCGTGGTTCGTCTTTTCCCCCTTTACACATACACACACACGCTGTGCAGGTTATCGGCATGAGCGCCACCATGCCCAATGTGGACGTGGTGGCCACGTGGCTGGATGCCGCATTGTACTGCACCACTTTCCGACCCGTACAGCTGCAGGAGTACGTCAAGGTGGGTCGGCGGGGGAGGAGAGGACGGCGGAGCAGGAGCGGGGGGGGGGTGACACAGGAAAATATAATGTATGTATTGTATATACACATATGTACACCTAGATATACACACGTCTTTACACACATAGGTAATGTGTGTGCATATAAGTACATGTATGTATATATATACATATATGCATATATATAGAGAGAGAAAGAGAGGGGGAGAGGGAGAGAGACACACACACGCAAGAGGGCAGTTGTAACACTGCTTACAAAACTAGTGGTACATTGGCGGCGACTGATCGACACCGATCAGCACCGATCGCCGTTGCAGTGCAGGGCCCTCGCCCACATGTTTAATTTGTGAACTCCGCCACATTCTTCGTTTATGGTCCTGTCGTGCTGTACAACGACGTTATTACTGCAGCTGGGCGCGAGGAAAATGGTGAAGACTGGATAGAAGCGAGAGGGAGAAGGAGGGAGGGGAAAAGACGAACCACGAGCGAGTGAAGCTGATGCCAAGGAAAAACTGCTAAGGGAAAGGGGGAGGCTGGGGTAGATAGGCAAGAGGTGGTTTCGCGGGCGTGTAAGGAACTCCTCCGTCCCTCCCTCCCTCCTTCACCTCTTGGTCAGTTCTACTCCTGGTACACTCTTGCCCTGGCAGCAGCCTCACTCGTTCGTGGTTCGTCTTTCCCACCCTCCCTCCCTCCCTCCTTCCCTCCTTCCTCACTTTTGCATACGAGTCCCCCCACTCGCCCTTTCCATTAACCCGCGCAGGTGGGTCGCCGCATCCTGGACTCCAGCGGCGGCCTCATCCGCGAGCTGGTCCCGGATAAGGCCTGGGAGGACCGGGATGCCGACCACGTGGCCCTGCTGACCGCGGAGACAGTGAGGGAGGGACACTCGGTGCTCATCTTCTGTGCATCCAAGGTAGGTGGTTGGGTGGGTGGTCAGTTGGGTAGGTGCTATGTCTTGGTTGGTAGTCCCATCAACTTACATGGGTAACACGTGGCTTCCTTTACCGTTACCCTACCCTCTTACCCTACCCTTACCCTACCCTTACCCTACCCTTACCCTACCCTTACCCTACCCTCTTACCCTACCCTTACCCTACCCTTACCCTACCCTTACCCTACCCTTACCCTACCCTTACCCTACCCTTACCCTACCCTTACCCTACCCTTACCCTACCCTTACCCTACCCTTACCCTACCCTTACCCTACCCTTACCCTACCCTTACCCTACCCTTACCCTACCCTTACCCTACCCTTACCCTACCCTCTTACCCTACCCTTACCCTACCCTCTTACCCTACCCTTACCCTTCCCTCTTACCCTACCCTTACCCTACCCTTACCCTACCCTTACCCTACCCTTACCCTACCCTTACCCTACCCTTACCCTACCCTTACCCTACCCTTACCCTACCCTTACCCTACCCTTACCCTACCCTTACCCTACCCTTACCCTACCCTTACCCTACCCTTACCCTACCCTTACCCTACCCTTACCCTACCCTTACCCTACCCTTACCCTACCCTTACCCTACCCTTACCCTACCCTTACCCTACCCTTACCCTACCCTTACCCTACCCTTACCCTACCCTTACCCTACCCTTACCCTCCCACACCCCCAAACCCCGATCCCCCGCCAGATCCTTTGCGAGAAGGTGGCGGACCACATTGCACGTATGCTGCAGATCGGCCAGCGTGAGCCACCACCCGTCACTGCGGCTGCCGGAGGAGGCGGCGGAGGAGGCGGAGGTGCCGACGGCGCCAGCCCACCTCGTAACACCCGAGAGTCCTACGTGGGGGAGCTGCGGCGGCTGGCGGGTGCGGACCCCACACTGGCTGACTTGGTTGCCCGGGGGGTGGCTTATCACCACGCAGGTGAGGTCGGGGAGGGGAGGGGAGGGGAGGGGAGCAGGAGGGGAGGGGGCAGGAGGGGAGGGGGTAGGAGGGGAGGATGGATTCCCGGGAGGGGGGTCCGCCATACCTCCTGTGTTTTTGTATGTTTTTGTTTGGCAGGGGGTAGATGTGGGCGAGATCATGGACGTGGCGGGGCCACGAGAGCAGCATAGGATGGGGGCGCTCACGTTACCTGGAAGTGACAAATTGCGTGTATACAGGGTGGTATACAGGGTGGTATACAGGGTGGTATACAAAGGTAGTTCCATGAATTGATCTAAAGAGCAGTAATACCATCCATCCATCCACCCATCCGTCCATGCATCTATACATCCATGCATACGTTATTGCATGCAGGTCTGTCCAATGAGGAGCGAGATCTGGTAGAGGCCGCATACAAGGCGGGAGCCATCTCCGTGCTCACCGCCACCTCCACACTGGCAGCAGGGGTCAATCTGCCAGCACGTAGAGTCATATTCAGACATACATACATCGGCAAGCAGGACAACCCCATCGACGCGACAAAGTAAGTGAGTGGCGGGGTCGACTGCGGCGGCGGGTGGCGCGCAGCTCGCTGCTGGTGGGGTAGAGGGGAAAACCATGTATATGATGGTTGAGCAAAACGGAATGCAAGGGAGGTTTTCAAACGGTCCCGACACCTTAATGAGCTGCAACGACTGCTGCCGCAGGGAGTCTTAACCAACGACGCCTGTCTCTTGGAAAGTAGTGAATTATACCAGAAATTTGCCAAACTTCGCCGTGTATGTAACCCCTCCTACTTCCCCTGCCGTCCCTGCGGTTCTTTCCCCTCTTTTCCTCTTTTCCTCTTCCTGCTCCTCCCCACTTGGCGGGATGTAGGTATCGGCAGATGTCAGGTCGCGCGGGCCGTGCCGGTATCGACACGGCGGGCGAGTCGTACCTCATCTGCGAGCGCAACAAGCCGGTGGCGCCGCTGCTGGCGCTGATGCAGCAGAAGGCCAGCGCCATCGGGAGCTGCCTCACTGAGGCCCGAAAGGGCATGAAGCGCGCGGTGCTGGAGGTAAGAGAATCGCAACTGCTACTGTTGCTACTGTTGCTACTGCTGCTACTGCTGCTACTACTGCTACCACTGCTGCTGCTTTGGACTCTCCAGCAGTGGGCGCTTTGGAAGTGTCGGCACAGGTGCCTCGATGTTTCTTTTGTATCTGATTTCCCTCCCCCCCAACCTCCCAACCTCCCAACCTCCCAGGTAGTGGCCTCCGGGGCAGTGAGCAGCGGCGGCGACGTGAAGCGATTCATCGGCTGTACACTGCTGCACGCACAGTACGGCTTCCAAGCCGTAGCCAAAGCCACCATCGCGGCGTTGCACTGGCTCAAAGACAACGGCTTTATACGGTATAGTCAGGCGGGGCCCCGGGGCGGGATGGGGCGGGGCGGGGAAGGCCGGTGATTGGTGCTGGTGCTGGAGTGAGGCATGAGGGCAGGGCAGGTGGAAGGCTAGCGTAAGGGATGATGTGGGACCTGTGATCCTTTTCAGTTCAAAACTAGAGACAGTCAGCTGTCAAGAGATAACCCTGCTAGCTATAACCAGGGCGGGAGGCACGTGCTAACTATAACCAGGGCGGGAGGCACACGTGCTAGCTATAACAAGGGCGGGGATTCTTCGTTTAAGACACGCACATACATACGTGCGCACATACATACGTACATACACACGTAGATACGGTCGTGTGCGCCGATGGACTTGCCTTCCGGACTTGCCCACATCGCGCCGCACACTTCGCTCCTTCCCTCTTCACACCTAACCCCTCACCACCACCACCACCACCTCTGTCCTCAACATGAAACCCATCCACCCCTCTTTCTCTCTCTTTCACAGTGTTGATGAGGGCTCCCTAAACTGGGGCCCCACTCCGTTCGGCAAGGCCACGTTGGCTAGCTCCATGCCGCCCGAGGACGCGCTGGTGGTTCGTGCGGACCTGGAGCGCGCACGCATGTCGCTGGTGCTGGCCACCGACCTGCATGTCACGTACCTGGTTACGCCGATAAAGGAGGACCTGCGGGTGGACTGGCAAATGTGAGGTACCGTCTCCGTTGGAGCCCGCTTTCAGGGTTTAGGGAGGAGAGATCTGGAAATGAGGCGGTGACGGATGGGTGGTAGTTGGTCTTAGGGTTCTGCTGGTGACTTTATTCTCGCGCCGATCGTCACCTTGGGCTGTCTCCTTTCTCTCTCGCCCCCTCGGGGGGGGGGGTAGGGGGGTCCCGCTGCCTCACGGCCATCCCGCTGTCCTGTTTCTCTCACTGCTACTACCGCAGCTACTTCGACTGGTTTGAGAAGCTGTCTCGAGTGGATGCCCGAGTAGCGGAGCTGGTGGGGGTGGTGCCCGCCTACCTGGTCAAGTTGCGACAGGTAGGGGGGGGCAGCTGGGCGGGGGGCGGGGCTCGGGGGGTACTCCCACGTAGCTTGTGGGATCTGCTGCTGCTGCTGCTGCTGCTGCTTCCGCGCCTCCCGGGATGACACCCATGCGCATGTCCGCCTTCCTCCAACTCCCGCGACTCATCGCCAACGGATTTTGTCCTTGTGTGTACTGATATCAGCGGTGTGCTGCTCCTATCTCCTCGAGACACACTGATACTCTCTCACTCTCTCACATACACACACACTGCACATGCATGCACGTGCGGCGTGTAGGGCCATCGCGGCGCCCGTGTCGGTGGTGGCGGTGGTGCTGCTGATGCGGAGAAGGAGCGCATCGCCCGGCGCTTCTTCGCTGCCATGGTGCTCAACGACCTTATACAGGAAGTGCGTCTGGATTTGGATTTTAGGTTTGGATTTTAGATTTAGATTTGGATCTGGGTTGAGGTAGGACGTGTCCAAATTGCTGACTATTGACCGGAACAGAGCCAGCCAGCCCTACCGCATGTAACCTAGCTAGCATTGCCACAGGCTCACCCGTCGTAGTCCACGTGGCTTTGTTGGTCATGTTGCTGTGTTCCCGCATCCGTGTCCACCTCCACCACCTCCACCACCACCTCCGCAGGTGCCCCTGAAGGAGGTTGCGGAGAAGTACGGACTGGGCAAGGAGAAGGGCCCCCTGGAGGGGCTGCAGGAGCGAGCCGGTGGGTCGGCTGCATGCCTGTATTGTCTGCCTGTCGTTATGTCTGTAGGTGCAGGTCTGACTCTGAGGAGGAGGTGGGACCTGAGAGGTCTTGACAGTCTCTTGCAGGTTACCCCTTCCCCCCTTCGGTTATACCGCTTCCAGTTTCGAAAGACCCGTGGTTGTGACTCAATACACACCGACACACACACACACACACACACACACACACACACACACACACGCACACACACACATTGACACGCACACACACACACACATCAAGACGTCCCGCAGGACATGGTGCTTCGTCCCATCCTTGCCTCTTTGCCCTCTGTATGCCCTGTGCTCCTCCCTGTCGATTGATCGAGTCCCTTGTCCTGTCCTCTCCTGTCTTTTTTACAACCAACAAACCCCTCCCCTTGGTATCATCCCTTCGTCCCGGTTTTCACTGGGGCCGGGGCTTTCCGCCTTCGGGCCTTCTTTCCTTCCAGGTCGCTTCGCTGCCATGGTGGCCGCTTTCTGTGAGCGGCTTGGCTGGGCAGACCTGGAGGTCATCATTGCCAAGTTCCAGAGCCGCGTGTGGTACGGTGTACGGCCGGAGGTGGTTGCGCTAACGGAAATCCCGTACGTCAAGGGCCACCGCGCACGGCTGCTGTTCAAGGCGGGGCTGCGCACGCCTGAGGCGGTGGCGGGGTGCGAGCTGGAGAGGCTGATCGAGATTCTATCCGCAGGTAGGGGTGAGGACAGGGTGGGGAGGAGGAGGGGCGGAATTGGGGGAGGAGGGGTTATGGCATTCTCCGTTCTTCTCCGTTCTGGCTTTCCCCTCTTAAAAGAGGAAAGGTATTATGTATTCTTAGTTCCCCCTTCGGTCCGCATTGCTTCCACTCACATTCCAGAGTTAAAGATGATGAATTGCAAACCGATTGCGCGTCACGCATTGATTGCCCGTTTTTCCTGTCGTCACCCTCCTTCGCCGCTGCTGGTGGTGGTGTCGGTGCTGGTGCTGGTGCTGCTGGTGCCGGTGCCGGTGCTGGACAGGAGCTCCTCGCAATCCGGAGCACGAGGAGCAGCAGCGGCGGACGGAGCGCCGTGCCGCCCGAATGATCCTGCAGGGCGCCAAGGACCTCGTCAACCAAAAGGTGCGTGCGTGGAGGGGAGGGAAATGTGAACGAGAGAATCTGCGGCGGTGGGGGCAAAGCCTCATCTTTAGCGGCAATGTCAGCTGCAGCGTCGAAGCGCGAGCCAGCAGAAACGAAGAAGCGTTAGGTCAGTGGTGGAGAGAAGTGAGGCCGGAAAACTTGGGAACGCAGTAGTGTGTGGAGGGAGGGGAGGTGCAAGTAAGTTGGGAGCCAGGACCCCTCCCTCTGATTGATCTCTCGCTAACACTCACCAATCTGACTTGTATGTACGTATGTCTTATTTTTGTCTATCTATCTATCTGTCTGTCTGTCTGTCTGCCTTACATCTTGTGTTATCCGTCCGAAGGTACACGAGTTGAAAGAGCAAGCCAAGGCCCTGAGAGCCGCCTTGGATCCCAGCGCCTCCCAGCAACACTCCGTGCCTCTGGATGCTTCCCTAGCCCCACCGCAGCCACCGCCGCAGCCCCGCCAGCAGCAACAGCAGCCGCAGTCGCAGTCGCAGTTGCATCCGGCGGCCGCGGAGGCTCTAGGGCGGCAGCATGGCGGGCCGGTGGAAGAAACCCACCATGTTGGCAGTACCGTCCCCGCCGCTGCCGCTGCGGCTGCGGCACCAACCGCTCTTGCGACTGCCATGCCCGTTGATGGTCGCTGTGGTAGTGGTAGTGGTGGTGGCAGCGGAGCGGCTGGGGCAGCGGAGCTTGGGGATGGGTGTATGGGCAAAGCAAGGCCTAGCGGCGCCACCCCTGTGCGGCCAACAAAGCAGCAGCGTCGGGAGGGCGGTGATCAGCAGGGCCTTGACGCCGCTGAAACCGCTTCTACTACTCCTGCTCCTGCTCCTGTTCTTGCTGCTCCTGCGACGGCTGCTGTCTTGGCAGCTGATGTTGCAGTTCAGGACCGTCAGCGGCCCGACGCCTTAGCAGCGCAAGGCCACACCTTCGGCCACACCGCTATCCCCGTCACCCACGTCAGCGACGGACAGCTGCCGGACCACAATGCGTCAGGGGGCCATCAACAACAACAGGAGCAAAGACGGCCTCAGCCAGGGCTGCAGCAGCTGCGGAAGCCTGATCTCTATCAAGAGCAGCAAGGGCCATATCCGCCAGGGGCTGCTACAACAGCAGCAGCTGCTGCTGTTGCAACTGTTGCTGTTGCTGCCGGTGCTAGTGTCGCAACGTCAGCATCAGAGGCAACTGCGGCGGTTGCACACAAACGACCTAGGGCGACCGTCGAGGGCGACCAGGGCCATCTGGCGAAGCGTGCGAGACCTGTTCCAGGTGCGGCATGGCGGATTTCCTTCCATACGGCATGGTATAACTATAAATACGCATCCCACGGATGCTTCCGTACGATGATACGGCAGAAGCGCTGCTGCTTTTACTTGGTTGGATATATAAATTGCGAAGTTGCGGAAGCGATGACCACCGGCTCAGATGTTTTACAGGAAAGGGCTTGGCGGTGTGCGTGTAAGGCTGCCATGCGTATTCCTGTCGTTTTTCCTGACCGGTCTTCTTGACCGCGCCGACTTCAAGGCCATGACCATGTCTGGGCGATTGCTGTTGTCCTTTGTGTACCTTAGCAGAGCTGCCTGATCAAGCAACAGCGGTGGCGGCGGTACCGGGCCAAGCCGCGTTGCCGCCTGCTGGGCCCCCGCTGCCGCCACATCCGCAGCAACAGTCAGCGCTCCGGAGCAGCTCCCACGCACATCCACATCCGCACCCCGTACACCCCTCCACCTATCCCAACACCTCTGCCAACGTGTACCAGCAGCTCGGCACTGGGCAAATCCATGATGATAACCAAGAGCACCGAAATCAGCAGCAGCCGCAGCAGCCGCAGCAGCCAGAACAGCTTCGCCATGATCAGGAAAAGCAGCGTCGGTACCTTGGTCAACAAGGACAGCCGCAGCAGCACTACAACAACTACCAGCAGCAAACAAACCATGCTGGTGGCGTGACGAAATTTAATCCACACGCCCTCGACCAATCTGACCAGCAGCAGCAGCAGCTCTTGCTTCAGCAACAGCACCACCAACCGCACCAACGGCAGCAGCAGCACCAACAGCACCAACAGCACCAACAGCACCTAGAGCACCAGCAGCACCTACAGCAACAGCAACAGCACCAACAGCATAGCGACAGCGAAAAGCAATACCAGCCACAATGGCAACATCAGAAGCAGCACCAGCACCATCCTGATCAGTGCGGGGCTTTTCAACCCGCAATGGCGCAATTTGGCAACCCGTTGCCACACCAGCAGCAACCGCACTATCAACCAGGAATGCACAAAGAGCACCAGCAGCAGCAGCAGCGGTGGCCCGGGGAACACGCCAGCGGTCCCCAACAACACCAGCAACATCCCCCTAACACCGCGAGTTATGGGCAAGCCATGGCGCTGCTCAATTCCAATGCATGTCAGGTGCCGCAACAAGGCGCTGCTCAGCAGCAACAATATTACCATCAACAACAGCAGCAACAGCAGCAGCAACAACAGCAACAACAGCAACAGCCACTCAAGGGAGAAACAGCACAGCCACCCAAGTGGGCTCCAGGACCTCCTCAGCTGCCAGGACACGCCGTTCTCAATCAGCGACCCACGGGTCACAACGGCTTGTGGCTGAACCAGCCGCAAGCCCCTCCTTCGCCACATTCTAGCCATCAATCCTACTATGACCCGCAAATTCACCCGCAAATTCATCCTCAGCTCCAGCAACAGCAAGAGCAGCAATTGTCACGGGCCATGGGATCCGGCGGTGCCGGCAGCGGCGGTGGCGGCGGCGGCACACTGGCCACTGCCGGGCCGCCCGGGGCGCCCCCAAGTCCTCAAACCCGGTTTCCTTTGCTGCATGTCCCGGGCTTCACCGTCCTCAAGACCACGACGGAAGTAGCTGCGGTCTGTGAACAACTGCGCCAAGTGGGAATGTGGGGATTCGCGCTGGACTTCGCGGACGGCTCCACGGTGCCGCCATCTTCTGGTGCCGCCGGTGTAATGGCGCTGCCCAGCGTGCCGCAGGTGGCGCTGGGGCGGGGCGTGATGGTGAACAGCATCGGCTTGCCGCTACATTACGATATGGAGGAGCCGCTGGCGCTGGATGCGGCCGGTGGTAGCGGCGGCAGCGGCGGCGGCGGCGGTTGCCGTCTGGAGGGTATTTCCCTCTGTGCCTTCGATGGCTGTGGCCTGTACGTGCCGTTGGTGGCGGCAACAGAGGTGGCAGCCGCCGAGCCTGCGACAGCAGCGGAACGCGCAGCCAGGGAGGCCGCTGCCGTACTAAGTGAAGTACGGCAGCTGCTGGCGCATGCAGGTTCTACAAAGGTCACCTTCGAGTTGAAGCAGCAGCTCATGCATGCGAGAGCGGCGCTTGGAGCCGTGGCGATGTCGGCTGCAGCGGCACCCGAGGGGCCATTGCCGGCGGCGCCAGCAGCGGACTTACCTCTACTTGTTGGGGATCCAGTCGTGGATGTTCGAATTTTGTTATGGATGCTCAATCCAGATGATCCTGTGGTAAGGAAAGCCCTGACACGCCTTGTCTTTAATTGCATACGTATGTTGTGTTTATGGTTGTTTCTTCGCCAGTCTCGAGGGCTCCCAAAGTCCCAAGTCCAAGCGCTTCCCATCAACCGGGTATGCGTTCCAGCTCCAGCTCCAGCCCCAAGACCCAACCCCGGCTTCTCGTTACGTCACCCCCGCAGAACCTTCCTCGCGGCAAATCCGGCAAACTGACCGCCACAAAGGGCTTAGAGGAGCGCATGAAGCAGCCGGAGGTGTGCGGAACAAGCGGCCATGCCAAGGTGCGCGGGTGGATGGGTGGCGTTAATGCGGGTGCATGTGGCCGGAGTGGATATGCGGTAGGCACGGGTGCATGTGTTTCTGAGTGGAGGTGGTGAGGTTGGGTGAGTGAGTGGGTTGGATGGAAGGATTGGTCGCGGAGTTCGGGATCCCTTTTTCCCCGGGGCTGCAGATGACACCCCGCTACTCAAGAGCCCACCCGTATCAAGTCCGTTTTTTCCAGGTTGCTCGCGGAAACACTGCGCCCCTGCACAGGCCCTAGGTGCGCTCCACTGCGCCGGTGCGGTAGTGCGGCAGCTCCCCACCCGGCAAGCGGACGCATGTCGCCGGGCTGCCATGGCGCGTCGTATCTACCTGGATAAGCTGCCAAAGCTGCAGGTGAGGAGGGAAAGGGAGAGGGGAAAAAGGGGCAGGCAAGGGGGGGGCCCCCCGGCGCTTCAGACCCCCTCGCGGGGGCCCCCGGCGCTTCAAACCCCCTCTCTTCAACCTCGCTGGTCAGGACCCGAAGCGCACCTCTTGCCTCACTCTTCCTCGCACCTCACACCTCATTCTCTCGCCGCCCCGTTCTCTCGCGCCTCCCTCTCTCTTCCTCTCTCTCGCCTCTCTCTGTCTCTCACACCTCGCCTTCTCTGCCCACCTAGTCTGAGGGTCTGTTGCGACCACTCCTGGAGGTGGAGATGCCTCTGGTGCGTATACTGGCGGCCATGGAGGCCACCGGGGTGGCACTGGCGCCCCGGGTGCTCCGAGACCAGCGAGGGCCGCTGGAGGCCCGGCTGCGGCAGCTGGCGCATAAGGCCCATGTGGCAGCTGGTATGACATTTGACCTCAACAGCCCCAAGGTGTGCGTAGGTGTATATGTATATATATATGCTTGTATGTATGCCTGTATGTACGTATGCATGTGTACAGAGGGAAGTACGGAAAAAGTACGGGTGTGGGGATACGGCTGTGTGATATCTTGTATGCCGTGTCGTGTCGTGCTTAATCTCACACGCACACACGCACACACGCGCACACACACACACCTGTCTGTATGGTGGAGGATGGAAATGCAGCGGGTACGGATGGAGGTGGGTTGGGGAGTCCTGACATACGTTACGTACATCTCTAACCCCCTCTGGGTATCTCAGGTTCTTTGAATTGTTTGAATTGTTTGAATTGCTGAATTGTTTTCGACTAGCGTCAATAACAATAACGGCAATGGTGGCTCGCGCTCTTCTCAATTACTGCATGGACCTTTCGCCCCCCGATCCTCTTTCCCTTGCCCTTCCCATTTCCCCTTGCCCGTGTGAAACTCGTGAAACTGCGTGTAAAACTCCTTTCGTCTGGCCGCTGCAGGACGTGTCGGAGGTGCTGTTCCAGCATTTGAACCTGCAGCCGCCCCCCTGCGCTTTCACCAGCCACCACCAGAAACACCCCTCAACGAAGAANGAGGTGCGAACGCCTAGGGAAGGGTAGACTGGAGCGGGGGTTTTAGAGGGGGAGCGGGGGTTTTAGAGGAGGGAGCGGGGGTTTTAGAGGGAGTGGGGGTTTTAGGGGGAGTGAGGGAGTGTAGGTTCAAATGCTGGAACAGCACCTCCGACACGTCCTGCAGCGACCAGACGAAAGGAGTTTTATCACACGGGCAAGGGGAAATGGGAAGGGCCCCTCCTAGCCCCCTTAATAGGCCCTCCTTGTTCTGACCATCATTCCTAGCCATCTGCAAATCCTGCACATCCGTCACCCGTTGCCGGTCATCGGGCACTGCCTGGTGCATGTGTGTCTATACGTATCCATGTATGTGCATACGTATATTGTGACAAACTTACGTATGTAAGTATGTTATGTATGTGTGTATCAGGTTCTTGAGGAGCTCGAGGAGAGCACGCACCACCCCATTCTGCGGTACCTTCTGGACTACCGCTCCTTACACAAGCTGCTGACGGGCTTTGTGGAGACGTTGTACAGCACAGCCCGGGGGCAGTGGCTGCAGCAGCAACAGCAGCAGCAGCAGCAGCAACAACAACAGCATGGCAGTGGTGGGGCTGGAGGTGATGGTAAAGGCGGTGGGGAGCGGTCAGCGGTGCCCGAGGTGGTCAGGTGGGGGTTCGGGTGTCACCGCCGGGTGCAGCCTGTTGTTGTCCTGCATGTCATGCATGTTGTCCTGTCATGCATGTTGTCATGCATGTCATGGTGTATGCGGGTATGTCGTTACAGGGTGGTTAAGCTTCACCAGCGGCCCCCTTTCCCTTGGAGGCAGTTCCCTGCTCTCCCTTGCTAGGGGGGCACCCTAATCCGTTCACCCCATCCGACTTCAGAATGTATTTGTTGGGTTCAGCAACTCACCACCAGCATCCAACCAAATCTAGCGGATCAACGGCGCCTCAACTTAGTTTCTGGTCAGCTCGCAAGTTGATATTATCACGTCCTACACCGTCCATAGGATAGGGGGCCACCTCCCATTTCAACACTTCTCAAACACCCGAGAAGTCGGCAGGCGGATTTGAATCCGGACACTCCGGGAGCAGGGTATGTATGTATGCATGTATGTGTAGCTATGCTATGGGCCTCCCTGGCCTCTTCATCGTGCCTCATTCACACACACACATACACACACATACACACACAGAGAGGTTTGTTAACGGAGGTTTGTATCGCAGCTCAGATCATGAAATGACATACACTGCCATATCCCGTTCAGGTTGTGTGGCAGCTGGTTGCACACCGCCACGGCTACGGGCCGCTTGTCCATGGACGAGCCGAACTTACAGACCATTCCGCGACCCGTGGAGTACTGCTTCCAGCTGAGCCAGGAGGAATCCCCCCGTGCCACGACGGAGATGGCGGTGGGGGTGGCGGGTGCGGAGGGCCAAGTACCACCGCTGCAACCGCTACAACCTGCACAAGGGGATGGCGGGGAGGAGGCAGGCGGTGGCGGCGGTGGTGGTGGATGTCGTACGGTCGTACGGATGCATTTTAACCTACGAAATGCGTTCGTGGCACCGCCGGGGTGAGAGCTCCGTGGGGGAGGGGGGGAAGGAGGGGGAGGAGGGCTGAAGAGAGGGGGGAAAAGGGGATTTCGGGTTTTTCCCAGTTTCCTCTTTTTCCCGCGTGCCCTCAGTGGACCCTTAGTACGTATCGCACTAAGTACATACACTCCTATCTGGGTCGCCGTCGGGTGCTGCCGCTCTTCCCTCTCTCTGCCCCTCCTCGCTATCCTCTCCCTGACTGAACCCCTCCCCTCCCCTCCCCTCCCACCACCCCGGGTGGTGGGGTGGTGGGATGATGGACCACCCCATCACCTGCGGCTGTCGGTATCCGGATGTCTGGATCTCGACCTTCCCCCGAAACACGCCATACTCTTAACTGAAAACAAACCTCACCACACACCACCCATCCCGCCAGCCACGTCATTCTGACAGCGGACTACAAGCAAATTGAGCTGCGTCTGATGGCGCACTTCTCCGGGGACAGTGCGCTGTGTGACCTGCTCCGGAACCCAGCCCAGGACCCCTTCACGCTGCTGGCGGCGGAGTGGAAGAGGTTGTCCGTGGAGCAGGTAGGCGGGCGGGGGAAGGGGTGGGGGACGGGGGACGTGGGGGGGAAGAGCAGAGCGGGTACCGTGGGTCTTCCGTGACGGGAAATGGCACCCCCGCTGCTGTTTCAACTGGAGTCGGAATTCGCCAATGAAACCCAGCTATTTTGGAAGTCGAGGAAATCGACTTGAGGAAGTCGACTAGTTGCGACTTCCTCAATGGGCATATAAGAAGAATTCCATAGGAAAAACCCGCAACTTGTGGCAAAGTTTCGAAAATTTCCTGTAAGAACATTTTCTTTGTTGGTGTGGGGGGGCTGCCCGGGGCCCCTGCTCGAGACCGTTAGTCAGTTAGCGGCCCCCTCCCGATTGGCAACCGGGAGGGGGTTGGCGGCGGACAGGATGACAGAGGTTCCATTGGCAGAGCCCCAACCTCCCTGCGGCCATGCTCCAGCCCCATCTAGTCCCCCTGCCGCCACTCTTGCCCTGGCAGCAGCTTCACTTGTTCGTGGTTCGCCTTTTCCCCCCTCCCGCCCTACCGGCCCCAAAATCCAGGTGACGCCCGAGGTGCGCGTGCAGGCCAAACGCCTAGCTTACGGCATGCTGTACGGCATGGGTACGAGCACGCTGGCTGCGGAGTTGGGTGTGTCTGTGCATGAGGCTGCGGAGTTGTCGGACAACTTCCGTAGAGCCATTCCCGGCGTGGACAGATGGATGAAGGAGGTGCGTGTGTGGGGGTGGGTGGGTGGGTGGATGTGCGTGTGTGTATGTATGTATGTATGCGTGCTGGTAAGGGGCCGCGGGGAAATAGGTCCAAGCACACGTGAGGAGATCCACCATCGCGAATTTGTGTGTACATGGAGACTGCTTTGCGTGTGTCGTACACTGTGCTGCACTATTGTCTAATAATGTACGTGGCAGATGTACGTACACACATGTATGCATATGCATGCATACATACATACATACACGTACACATGCAAGTACAGACCACATTACACTTCTGAGACGAAGACCTTCAATTGGAGGCCGGGGCATTTCCAATTTGCGTTGGTTGGCTTTGTGAGGGGCTTTGGCATCATGATCATCATGATCGTCACCTGATTCACCCCACCCCTCTACTCCGCTACCCCTCCATGCACCCCCCCCCCGTGCACACCGCGCCCAGGTAGTTGAGCAGTGTCGGAGTTGTGGCTACATTGTGACGCTGATGGGCCGTCGTCGCTACTTCCCCCGGATCAACGAACGGAGCTGTAAGGAGGCGCGGAGTCAGCGGGCGCAGGTGCAGGGGTGGCTGACGGGGTCGGGCAGGCCGGGGTGGGAGACAGGGGTGGGAGACAGGGGTGGGAGACAGGGGTGAGACTCAGTGAGGGCCTGGGACGCATTCCGGCCACTTCGGGAAAATGTCCTCCCTCCATCAGGCCCTCGTAACCATTTTCTCTCTCTCTCTCTCTTTTTCCACAAACAGATATATACACTCTCACATACAAGTTCTCCAAACTTACTTGTTGCGGCTTAGTTCATTTTAAAGCACAAATCCTTCCCTGGACTCTGTTTCCTCTGCTGGTGGCGCTGGTGGTGCTGGTGGTGCTGCCTATTCTGTGTTTCAGTCTGAGCGCCAGGCCATCAACAGTGTGTGCCAGGGCAGTGCGGCGGACCTGGTCAAGGCGGCCATGATCAGCCTGACACGGAGGATACGGGAGGAGGGCTGGGCAGGCAGGGCGAGATTGGTGCTCATGGTGGGTGCTGGTGGGGATGCAAGTGGCGGCGGTGTTGGGGGTGTGCGTGGTGGGATCGAGCAGGGCGGGGAGTGTGACCCTTTCCGAGGAGAGGGTGTGGGTGAGGAGAAGGGTGGTGTGTGTGCGTGTGTGTGTTTTAATTATATGTTGATATGTACGCGCTTTATTTCTTTTAGCCATGGATTAAAAGTGCGGGGGTCATGTAAGTAAGGCAGATGTCTTGCTTTCACAACACCAGAACTAAATACCTGTCTGTCTCTTTGTCTGCCTCTTTGTCTGTCTGTTTGCCTGTCTGTACAGGATGAGTAAGCCCACCCACCGAGGGTGGGTGGGCTCGACTTAATCTGACCCTCACACGTCGGTGACCAATTAATAGCGCATGTACGACAACCCGTACGGCATATACGATGCGTTTCTTATGTTTCCGCCATGCACACGCTGCAGGTACACGACGAGCTGGTTCTTGAGGTTGAGACGGGGTTGCTGCCGGCTATGGCTGCACTCACTCGTGATGTGTTGGAAGGGGAGGTGCGGCTGCGGGTGCCCACCCCAGTGAAGCTGAGCGCCGGGCCCTCCTGGGGCCAGTTGACCGAGTACGAGCCGCCTCAGCAGTCGCCAACGCACTTGCTGCTGCCACTGCCGGCCGTCCACATCCCGGCGGTGGCGGCAGCGGCGGGGACGGCGCAACCGTTGCCGCCACAAAAGCTATAGCCGCAGCTGCAGCAACACCACCTGTAGAAGCAACCGAGCGTTTCATAATGGGAATTTTGAAAAATAGCCTAATTAGGTCCTAGGTGTCAGGGGATATCTTGGTCTGTGGTGGTTAGTAGGAGCAGTAGCAGTAGCAGCGGCGGCGGCAGTGCCTGTGTTGGGGCCAGAGTGGCGAAAATTGCAGCAACAGCAGCCGTAGCGAATATGTGACAGGTGCAGCAGTTACGGCAAAAGCATCATCATCATCATCATCATTTTTATCATTAACATCAGCAGCAGCCGTAGCGAATATGTGACAGGTGCAGCAGTTACGGCAAAAGCATCATCATCATCATCATCATTTTTATCATTAACATCAGCAGCAGCAGTAGCGAATATGTGACAGGTGCAGCAGTTACGGCAAAAGCATCATCATCATCATCATCATTTTTATCATTAACATCAGCAGCAGCCGTAGCGAATATGTGACAGGTGCAGCAGTTACGGCAAAAGCATCATCATCATCATCATCATTTTTATCATTAACATCAGCAGCAGCCGTAGCGAATATGTGACAGGTGCAGCAGTTACGGCAAAAGCATCATCATCATCATCATCATTTTTATCATTAACATCAGCAGCAGCCGTAGCGAATATGTGACAGGTGCAGCAGTTACGGCAAAAGCATCATCATCATCATCATCATTTTTATCATTAACATCAGCAGCAGCCGTAGCGAATATGTGACAGGTGCAGCAGTTACGGCAAAAGCATCATCATCATCATCATCATTTTTATCATTAACATCAGCAGCAGCAGTAGCGGCAGCAGTAGAGTCATACGAGAGTGAAGTGCAGGGGGGTTAAGAGCACCTTCATGGTCGACGGTAGCAAAGCGCTGTTTTATGACACACGGGTCCTTATACACGTACTTCATTTTATTTTGACACATAGGCGCATGTAAGTAGAAGTACGCGTGTATGCATTGGTACTTTTTTTTGGTGTATTACGAGTGGGACAGGGGGGCATATTTCATCACCCGTGGCCGCTACCCGGCGAAACCCTGCCTTCCCCGGTGTTATTTCGGGGCACCCTCATCCAGTCATCCCCCAACACCGGCATGCAACGGAATCTGCAAGGCCAATGGCGGCTCAATTCCGTTTCTGGTCATCTCGCAGATGAACATGACTCTTCTATCTACGATTTATCATACCACACAGAACCATCCACCATTACCACATTGTACTACGCCATACGAACTGGAAGTCCAAGGCGGTTCGATCCTGCCTTCTAGGATCCCTCCATCAACTGTGACCTCAACTCCACATCTTAGCAGCTAGCCATAATCTCACGCTCCCGACAATATGTTCAAATGGCCCAGACGCCTCCCACCCTTTAACAAAGAGAGGAGCCTTCTATCGTGATAATTTAATCATCATCCAATATAAAGTTCATGGCCTCCCAACCTTGACAGGGGCACATGTATCGTCGACATCCCGAAGAGATAGGGGAATGTACTATTATATTGATCTTCTGACGATATATCGGCATTCTTAGACATTATATCATATCGATGTCGTCGTTTAGGTTAATGATGGCTATCGAAGACGATGGGACTCGAACCCACAACCCTCAGATCCGAAGTCTGATGCGCTATCCATTGCGCCACGTCTCCTTGTATGTAATAAGGCATGTTACATTCGGTAAAAGACCCAGTATGCACTCGTCAAAGGCCACCACACGTATTTGTGTTCTACTTGATGCGTGATTGCACATTCAAGTACGGATGTCGTCGGAGTGCGTGGAACCGGTGGTGGTGGTGGTGGTGAATGGATAAGTGATCGAGCGGGGCGTGGATCCCTCTGAGGGTGTTTTCCGTTGAGGCGTGGGAGTTCATGGGGGAATGTAAGCGGCCGCATGTGTGCATAGGGGGAAAAGGGGGCACGGCAATAGATATGCCGACGTGTGATTGCAGCGCAACAACGGCTGTGGTTACGTAGTGGTGATAGTCATGGTGGTGTGGCGATGACGATTCTTTTTTTTGGAGGGTGCAAAATGGAACAAGATGTTGAGGGTGTGGATGGGAGAACGAGCCAGCGTGTGGCCGTTAGGGTACCTGTTTAGCAGCGGTGGCGCGGGTAGAAGCAGGCAGCTCTGGGGACTTTGGCCCCACCGTTTATTGTCGAATTGTGCGAGCATGTTACTGTGCAGATTACTTTTTCGATACTTCCGGGAATTCGAGTCACAGTGGTTACTGTGACATCGTGAGTGGGATATACGCGTGTAGCGGAGCTTTCAGGTGCCGAAGCAATCTGCGGTTTGCGGTGTTACCCTGCGAAGGGTGTCTTTATGCCCTCATTACTACAGCGCATCATGGCTGCGCACATAGCGGCAGCAGTAAATCCTGTGGTCATTATTTGCGTGAAACTGAAAGAACTAGAAGTCGGCTAATAAGTATTCATGGGTACTCCCGCATTTCACAACGTTTATCCCGCGTTCAGCGAATCGCAAGCTTATGCAGTTTAGGCTTTGCTGTTGGGCATTGGCGGCTAACAGAGCGCGCAAGGGACGGCGTTATATACCTAGGGAGGAGCGAGTATGCCTCTGCTGCGGCACTGATAGCCATATCCAGGATGAAAAGCACATTCTGCTGGACTGCCTGGTGTACGACAAAATCAGGTCTGACACGGATTTCCCACGCTTCGAGCATATGAAGGACGCTATGAAGTGGGAACCTGAACGTCTGGCAAGGATGCTGGAACGTATATTGTCCCACCGCAACCCTATCGTTCCCTTTGGTCGTTAGTATCCTTCATCACTTGTTTCGTTTGAAGTGCGAGGAAGGATGGTGCTTTTAGGCGATCTGGCAGCCCTTGCGCCCTCGGCTCGTATTGGGCGGTTTGCAGGTACGGGGAACGCACCCACGACCAGTAACACACACACACACACATACACACACATACACACACATAAATATGCATACGTACCCTGTGCTTATGTTGTTAGGGGAGTACAAGGGTGACGGACACATATGTATGTTGTGTACGTGTCCTTTTTTTTACTAAAACTCAAAAATGGCATGAGCGTTTTATGGGTTTTGTGGGTTATTTCCAACGATTTAGAATTTGGAGCTACTGCTGTGTCGTCTGGCCTTCTGCTAGTAGGTAGTGGGATGGTATTCGCCCTCGCAGAGGTTCTAATTATTGACCGCACAGACTAGCAAACCATGGATTCCCTTTACCACTGGCTATCGTAGTATCAGGCCGCGAAATGGGTGGTGCTACGAAGCAGGGAAGGGAATGTGCTGCTTTGCTTCATTCGTAGGTGTCCTCTATTGCCGTGTGGTCGGTCCAGGCTCCCTAAATCCACCTTGATCGCCTTCTTGGTGTGGTAAAGAGTGCTACCAACATGTTGTTGTGCGGCTGGCTGGTTTACCCCTACCTAAAAGGTAAACCAGCCAGCCGCACAACAACATTTTGGTTGAGCTAGCTTTGCAGGTGTTTTGACGGCGCTCCTGCGCGGTCTGGTTGATGCAAACAACGGTGTACGGCACCATGAGGGGTTCCATGAGATGGGATGAGAGGGCTCCGGAGCGGGGTAGCAGTGCGTCCTGAGGAGGAGAGGGCAAGAAGAGGGAGGGATTCCATGGGGGTGCCTTCACAACGTGTGCCCTCACCTTCGCCATCTTTCTCACCCTTCAGAAAAACGCTACTGCTGTACCATTTTACCATTGGACCAACGTAATAGCAGAGATATACATTCTTACATCATCCTTTCAGTTTTTCTTGAGCGTCAAACATAATTATCATTTCGGCCGTACCATCATTGCGAGCGTCATGTCCGCATCTTCAATCATCATCCTGCATCGTCGCCGTGCAGGAACGCAACGAATTCATTCCCAGCATTCCCGATCCGACCAACAGCCGGTAAAACACCAGCCACGCATTACAAACGGACCGACTGTCGCCAGCGACATGCAACAGAACACGGCGCGGCAAAGTTTCCTTAAGACCACAAATCGGTCACAGCCTTGGCCCACTTCCTGGCCCTTCCTGCACAAGCTACTCTCGACGCAGCACCAACCTAAACCGACCAAAAACTTGGGGCTCAACACGGCATCCAAACATCGTAGGCTCTGGACTGAACGCATCAAATCAAACATTACGGTGCATTCGAATTTGTCGGAGAGGAAAAATATATTAAATACAGTATTATTATCGCAGCGCCGCGCCGGAAAACGCGCCTTCCTCACACATCTCTCTTAATAGCCTCCCCGAGGCGTCCACTCATCATCGCACACCGCATAGGTCGTCCAGTGGCCCCCCTCCATCCACACATACATCACTCAGCGCGAGTCGTCGTCGCCTCCGCCGCCCCCACCACTACCTCCCCATCGGCAGCCACCGCCTACTCCGCTGCCGCCACCACAACATCTGTCCCCGCGCCACCGTCCTCTTTAATCGCCGCCGCAGCAGTATCTGGCAGCTGCGCCACTGCCACTGCCTCAGCAGCAGCAGCTGCGGCCGCAGTCGTCGCCGCCGCCATCATCCCCACCGGTTCCTGGACCCCCGGCGCCGCCGCAGTGCCGGCGGCCACGTCGCCACCACCACACGTGGGCTGTCCGGCCATGACCTTATCGAGCCAGGGCAGCAGCTCCCCGTGAACCAGGTCGGGCTTGTCATCGTGGAGGCAGTGGCCCACATCTGACCGGAAGTTAGCAGTTGGAGAAGCAGCGCAGTTGGACGTGTATGTATGTATGCATGTATGTATGTATGGCTTAGATTACACTGTGGGCCGCGAGAGCCGGGGGCCGAAGCCGAAACATGGTTTGTATGTATGTATGCATGCATGTATGTGTATGCACGGATTTTGTGACGGGAAGGAAACGGCGTATTTAGGGAAAAAGGTGGCGGTGGACATGCAGCAGCAGCAGCAGCAGCACATGATGATGGTGATGGTGATGCAACGGAGCGCGAGGAGTGGTAGTGTGTCGGGAAGGGGGCGACGCCGCCCTGGCCGTCTTTGCAGGACCAGAACCTCCGGGGAGGGGTTTATAGACCCGGCTAGGGTAGGGCTGGGGTGGGGGTGCGGGTGGGGGTGAGGAGCCAGGCCGGCCGGTCAGTGTGCATGAAGCCTTATCATTAGCCATACAGAACGTTTCCAACGCATGCTTCCATTTACTTCGCTCATACACACACAGACACACACACACACACACGCGCGCGCGCAGGAGGAAGTCGGGGCACTTGTTGCGACAGACTGTACCATCTGCAGCTTTACTACTCACCCTCCAGCATCTTGAAGGTGGTTTCGGGGCGGCAGCCGGGCAGCGCCTGCAGGAAGCGGCCCAGGGGTCCGTCTACCGGCGTGATGGTGTCCTTGTCCCCCCACAGCACCAGCAGCGGCCCCTTCACATCCGGCATCAGGTTCCAGGGCTTAGGTCCCGGGGGCCCTGAGAAGGCGGGAGGGAAGGCGGGAGGGAAGGGACCCCATGACCGCACAAGTAAGAGAAATGGTTCACATTGTGTGCACGTCCAGGGAGGCGTGTTTGCGTGTGTTTTGTGTTTGTGTGTGTTTTGTGTGTGTGTCTCGGAATGACTTTCGACCTTAAGACCGCCGCCAATCAATGACGCCCCCGTCCAACACACACAAAAATGTGCCCCGACTTGAGATGCCCTTCTCCCCCTTCTCCCCCTCCGGCCCCTCCTGTCCCGCACACACCCCCGCACCGGTGATGACGCTCACGAACACCTCCCTCGCCCCCGGGTCACAGCTCGGTGCGAACACCTCCTCCACCAGCTCTTCATCCACGTGGGCGGGGTTGCGGTACACCCCCTCCCGGAGGACCTGGCGGATGTTGTCCCGGCTCCTACGCGTGTTGTTGGGTGGGCCACCCCCCGGGGGGGGCGGTAGGAACCGGGAACCAGGGGGGCCATCAACGAGGAACATCAGCGCCACAACAGGGGCATGAGCACCAATACCTAACCAATACCTAACCATAACCACCATTATTGTAGCCGTGGGAGCCGTGCAAAACCGTCAACGTGCAAAACCGTCAACAACAACGACAACAACACAGCGTCGAAAGCGCCAGGTGCAGCAGCAGCAGCAACAACAGCGGTAGCGGTGGCAGCAGCAGTAGCAGTTGCAGCAGCAGCAGCACCGGCATCAACACAGGAGGCAGGAACAAGCAAGAGGAGGAGATAGTCCTAGCTATCGAACACCACTGCATTCCAAATCTGAATGTCGGCATGCGAACGCGGACTACACCGTTCAACTACACCGCTCTGGGGGGGGGAAAAGAGCTTCTGAAGGTGTTCTACCTCCCCTTTCCCCTTCCGTCCCCCTAGGTACAGGCCACCTCCTAATCACCTCCATCTCCAGCGCCCCCACCACGGGGGTAACCGGAACCCCACTCAACACGTCACTTCCCTTCACACCTTTCCCCTCCCTTTCCCACCACCTCCCCCACCCCGGCCCCCTCCTTCACAGCGTCATGACTCCATTTCCTCCTTTTCCCCTCTTACCCCAGCCCCTCTTACCTGACGTTGTTGAAGAGCGCCGCACTGACCGCGGGAATGGATAGCAGGAAGTCAATGAACAGCAGCAGCGGGTACAGCGCCAGGATGCGCCAGTCGCCCAGCACACCCTTGTTGTTCATGGCGCCGGCGGAATTGAGCAATACGGTGCCGCGGACGGAGCTGGGCTGCGAGGCGGCGTTCACCTGGCCCGCGGGAAGGGGAAGGGGAAAGACGAACCACTAACGAGTGAAGCTGCTGCCAGGGCAAGAGTGTACCAGATGTAGAACTGACCGAAAGGCGGAAGGGCAGGGGGAGAGGAGGAGAGGCGGGAAGAGGGCAGGAGGCGAGAGAGGGGCGGCGCATTGTGGGTCAGCCGCCGAGGCGGTCGCGGCCGCGCACAAGTGACACAAGCGCCGGGAAAACTGCGACTAAGAATATACTCGCAGGGGGCCCCTCACCGCCGTCATCTCCCTCTGGCCAACAGCTTGTTGCGCAACTTCCGAACGTACAGAGCACACAGCAGCTCTGTGGCCACAACATCACGATTAACAAACGTACATACACACACACACGCACACCACACAGCTGTTGGGCCCCCAGCGCCCGGGGCCTTGCAAAGCAAAAGTCACCGGTAGAAGCTTCCGCGCAGCCTTCACCCTTCCCTCCGTCCCTCCCTTACCTTACCTCACCTACCCCCCCTGCCTATGAGAGCCCCTGTGCAGGTAAGGGCAATGCGCTGGTGGGCAACCCCTCCACCCTCCACCGGAACGCTGGCGCCTTGGTCCGATTGTACCCTCGGCCTCGGCGAAACCCGCTCGTCTTCCCTCCTCTCCCCCTCCCAGCCCTCAACTTCCTATTCCCGGGCCCCCCAACACACTATCTCTATCTCTCGGGGGCCACGGAAGCCGCAGGTGGCTGCTACTGCTGCTACTGCTGCTGCTACCACTGCTGCTGTTACTGCAGCTGCTGCTACCACTGCTACTGCTGCTGTTGCAACCCACCATGAGACACGCCAGCGCTCCGATGGAGTTACCCATCAGCACCGCCGGCTTGCCGCCTAGGAACTCGGAGTTGAAGTCCAGCAGCAGGTCCCTCCATAACTCCATACTGGGATATCATATGTAGCCGTTAGCGGCCGCCGTCACCATCATGATCATCATCATGATCACCGTCATCATCACCATCATCATCATCACAAGCAGCAGCACCGCCATCAGCAGCACCGGCACCCATACCGCCATCATACAGTGAAGAAGGGAGGAGAGGGAAATGGAGGTCATTGTGGCCAAATCGGGTACGCCATTCGGCGGGAAGAAGAACAGGGGGCCCAGCATGGATCCGGCATTGAGGAGGAGCAGACCGGGACGGAGGCAGGGCAGAGCCCAAGATGGGCAAGATGTGAGGAAGAGCGAGAGTGACGGTCGAGAGAAGAGAATTCAAAGGGTGGGTGGCAAAAAACGCACCTGTACTGCAGGATGGGCTTAGAGGACTTTCCAAATCCAAGCAGGTCGATAGCATACACCTTGTACTTCTCCGCCAGGACCGGAATGTTGCGGCGATAGTGGAAGGACGAGAGGCCGAAGCCATGCACGAGGACGATGGGTTCGCCACACCCAGCTGTCTTGTAATGGATCGTGTGTCCGCGCCATTTCCAAGTATGCGAAGACCAACCGTACTTATCGCCGGAGCTCGCGGACGCAGACTCAGCCCCTTCAGCGCTGCGCGAGACGGTGGATGGTGCTGCGAAAGGGTTAACGCCCGTGTCTGCAGCTGCACGAGCGCAAAGCCTAAGAGAGCGAACTGTTCGATAAGATTGCAATCGGGGTGTAATAGGTTTGGATAGACTCGAGGAAGCTTCGCTACGGACGCGGGGTGGGGCATGATGTTGTAGTATCATCCTTACGTGGTCACGAGTTCAATAAAGCAGTAAGCTTCACCGTGAAATCACAGCACCACACACGCTTTGATCAAATGCACAGCGACAAACATCTATTACTCGCGGTCTTGCCATCCTCTCGTTTTTTCAGGATCCAATATACGGCTCAACCCAATGAAACGCAGCTAGGTGGGATTCAACCTGCCAAGTTTCGCAGCAAACCTCAAATAGACTGCTTAGCATAGCTCATTCCTTTTCCATTTTCCCCTCTGTTCTCACCTCAGCTGTCTGTCTTATTGCACAACAACAAATACGATTCCTTTTCCTTCTTTTTTCTATCAGCGTGTTTCCTCTTATTGTATAAACACGGACCTTAAGCCTTCATGAAGGAATCGAGGGCGCGAAGCACCAGCACCCAGCGCGGCTCTCGCGCTGGGTCTGCGAAGCGTGGGCAACGCGGACACACACCTCGGCGTCTATCGGACCTTCAAGAGCGCCCAGCCTGGGATGTACGTGAAGCTACACAGTAAATGATTGACAACCGGCGGTATCTTGCTAGATGTCAAAAGAATGCGTCTTGCTGCGCATGCAGACAACTTCATCCAACCTTGAGCGGTTCAAGCTCACAGCCGAAGAGCAGGTAATATCAGCTTGGGCAGCTGACGTCTCTGGCAATTTAATCACGACTTGACATTCGCCGCTCGCCTTCAACAGGAGCGGCGCAAGGCGTCCCGTGTATCCAAGAACCGGCCCCTGGCATCCTTAGATTCAAAGCGGGGATTCGTCGAAGGTGGGCTCTATGCATCCTGTGCCGACCAACCCATTCTCGGAACTCCTCAACCGTGCCGCAAACACATTTTCAGGGTAACCCTGCGCGCCTGCCGCCACCAGCGTGCCGCTCAATCCACACCTCGGCGCCCATACCATGTTCGAAGTAAAACTTGCAAGACCAGCGTCCCTGTCCATGCAAGCCCCTTGAGCGATTCTCATGATGTAAATTTCGTTATGATTACAAGTCCAAAAGTACATCCCTCCAACGCCCATTTTGCCATGCGACAGCTTGGGCCAAGCACGTCTCCGCCGGCGGCCTACATGAAGATACCGAGCCCGACCAGGACCGACCCCGCAGCGGCCCCCTGATCCGTGACTTGGCTGGGATCAACTTTGGCAGCGTTGTGGAGATGCTTCGAAGATCGCCATCCGCAGCTGCTGGTAGCGTGTTGGAGATCCTCCGCAAGTCGCCATCCGCAGCCTCTGCCGCCGCCGGCAGCGTGCGGGAGATGCTCCGAAAATCACCATCTGCTGCCGCTACTGCCGCGGCCGCCGCAGCAGCAGCTACCCGGGGCCGGCCTCCTGGCGTGGCCGCATGCTCAGACGAAGCAGCGCACAAGTCAAGCCGCTCCGCAGCAGCGGTAGACGACTTCCCGCCGTCGCGGCCCCAGCCCCGCTCCCGCTCTCGTTCTCAATCTCGCTCCCGCCGCGAAACGTCCTCTGCCGTCGCCGCCGCTGCCTCATACCTACCATCAACGGAGACCAGCAGCCGCTGGGTTCCTTCCAACGGCAGCCTCATGTCAACAGCGGCAGGAGGTCAGAACTGCGGCGTTGCCGGTGAAATGGGACCTGGGGCTGACAGAGCCGCGGCGGCTGACGCACCCGAGTCGACGGCGGCGACGACAGGGACCAGCACGACGCTGGGGTCCGCGTCAGGGATGGGCAAGGATAGGGCCGCCGCCGAGGCCTTGGTGGCGGCAGCCGGAGCCGGCGGAGGAGGGGAGAATAATTTGCTGCGCCGGGCTGACGTCAGCATCACGCCGGTGGAGCTGCGGCCCAGGTGTGACGGACGGGGCTGTGCGCGAATCGGGCGGGCGGATTGCTGTTGCTTGTCCGTTCTTTTCCACGCATATATGGGTTTACGAAGTCGCCTGCCTGTTCATATATGTTCGTTGTACAGCTCTGGCAGTTCTGCGATGTGATGGAAGGATCGAGCGGTGGCGAGCTAAGCTGGCCAGAGGGGCGAGCAAAGCACTCACAGCACGGCGTTCCTGGAGTCACACTGCAACCATGTCTCAGTAGTGCAAATCGCGTCCAAAAAAGAAATTGATTACAAAGCTTGCTTCTGGTGTTCAGACTACACAACTATTATGTTAAACACGACGTCGATTACGGGTCATGCGTAAATAGACTTGACTGTCCTGGGCCGGAATGTCTGTAGGTTAGTTGTGGATGCTGGCGTGTGTCAGGGGCGTGTTTGCGGGCCAGGACGACGACCCCCCCGCCGCCCGCCGCTACTACGGTGTTAACACCGTATCCCAAGGCCTGAAGCCGTTGTCTCTTATCCTCTGCCTGGCTCACGCAATGCTCCCGCCCCCTCCCTCTCCCCATCGAGACATCGCTCACCTTTTTGGCCAGGTTTCCTCCCATCACCCGCCCGCACATCACCTACCCACCCCCTGGCTTCTCATGGCACGTGCTTTCCGCCCATGCAGGTATTATAACCCCGCAGACGCTACCACCATTATCGCCTACGGCGACAATAGCGAGGATGAAGAAGGTGACGAAGGTCCCAGCTGCACTAGCAGTGACGCAGGTAAGAAGGCAGCAACAATGGCGGCTGGAGCAGCAGCGGGAGGAGGAGGAGGAGGAGCTGGAGGCCTTGATCCCATGACTGCGGCCTTTGAGGCGGCGCTGTTCCACGAACGGTTTGGCGGTGTGGCGGTTCCGGTCTCAGCGGCTGATGGTGGTGGTGGTGGTGGTGGCGATGAGGCGGCGCTGGCTTGGGCGACCAGTCGGGACCACTCGGTGTCCCCCATCGGCACAGCTGCGGTGCGGCTGTTGGGGTGCGGCTGTTGAAGAAGGGGGAGGAGAGAGGGAGGAGGAGAGGAAGTTAAAGGGGCAATCAGAATGTGCCTAACCGTTTTGATTAACGGCTGACTAGCAGAGGTTAAATACTTTGTCCCTTGCCTTGCCTGGGCTCTACCAGGAGGGCATGTGAGGTGGGTGGAGGGTTTATTTCCAAAGCTTCCTTTCACTTTCGGTCGAGTTCCCATGACGCACCTCTTGCCACCAGCACACATTGTTCTGCCCCTCACACTCTTCGCTAGAGCCGCTTTCGTTCCTCGCGTTAAGAGCGACGTTTGACATTCTGGAAAAATCCACAAGTGCCGCCTTCCATTCCACACGCAACCACGTGCCCGCTTATGCTTCCAGTCCGACGTGGAGCGCCGGTTACGAGCGGTGGAGGCGGCGCTGGCGGGGCACAGCAAGGGAGGCCGCCTGATGGCCGCCTCCGGGAGAGGCAGACCACCTGGTGGTGGTGGTGGCAGTGATCCGCAGCAGATGACGCTCCAGGAAGAGGTGACGGAGCTGCGCCGTGAGTTACGGCAGGTGTGTATGTGTGTGTGTGTGTGTGTGTGTGTGTGTGTGGCTCCAGCCTGAGCTCGTGCGGTCTCCGCTCAGCTCTCCTCACCTCTGTGACTTGTCGCTTCTAGGACTTTTCTAGAGCGCTTAGGCGTGTGGCGCTGGGGGGGTTTCGAGGACGCGCTGCACACGTCTTTGTACCGTGTGTATGCCCTGTATGTATGCGTACGGTGAATCTCGCACTCAGGCAGTATGGCAAAATATGGCATCGGCAGTTAGGTATGTATAGTGCGAGGGGCATTTCGCTTCGCGCGGTGATCCCACATTTCTTTTTGATTAGCAGCAGCTGTTTGGGAACGGCCATTACCGTCCCTGCATGTTCTTATGGGCTCCTGCGCATGGCGCTTGTTTGTTGTCGTTCCCCTGCTCCACCCCCCGGCTACACACACGCGCACATACAGCGAAGCCGCACAGCCATGGCGGTCTCCTCGTGCACGGCATATTACGCGCCCTGATGTACTTCTCTGCGCTTTGATGCAATTGCGGTGTTGTTGTTTTCTCTCGCAGTAGATAGTGAAGCAAAGCAAAGCAGCACGACTGCTCACGCTTGTAGAGGAGCGGCAGAGCCGGGACATGATTCCCCTTCCCTCTGCCACCAGGACTCCGGCATATGACCCAGTTGGCATTCCAGCTGCCAATGCCCACCTGCGTCTTCTAGCCGGCCAGTATCCTCTCCTCAACCCATTCTCCCCTCCAGGGTTGTTGGTTTTTTCGGCTTCAGCAAATTTCCCCCCTGCGCACCCTTTCCCCTTCCTGTCCCGCTGTCATGCGCTTAGGTTCAGACCGATAACGCCAAGTTGCGTCAGGAGCTGGGCGCCTTCTCCACGCACGCAAGTGCATTGATGACGCAGCTGCAGGTGCGGCGCGAAAGGGGAAGGGGGGGATGGCTAGTGCACTGCTGCGACGGCTCGACTCCAGCGAGCGCATGTGCCTACCTGCCACGGCATTCTGGCAGGAGAGGGTCACAAAACTCTTTTGTGTGGGCCAGGACTGTGGGCCAGGACTGGAAATGTCTACTGCTGGCAATACTGGACCTGGACAGAGGGCCTCGAGGCTGACGCACAGGACGCGAAGTTAGGGTCAGTTACCAGACAGTCCCGAACTCCCGTCATGTTGAGGTTCCGGGGCCCTTAGGGTTCCCTCGCCTCACCCGCCTTATCCTGATCCTGGGCGCCTACCTTATCCTTCCTGCCCCTGCCTGTGGTGTGTCTGTTGTATGTGGTGTGTCTGCCTTCCTCACATCGCAGGCCCAGGTGCAGCAGCTGCTGCGGGGCTCCAACGGCGGCGACTCGGGCTCGTCGACCACTGCCGGCGTGGGAGCCGCGGCGAAGGAGACAGCGGGCCGTCCCTTCGTACGACAACAGTCAGCGCCATCAGGACCAGGCGCCGCTGCCGCTGCAGCATCTATTCCCACGACACTTTCGGCGGCGAATTTCGCCGCTGCTAGTAGCCATCTGCCGTACGGTGGCCTGTACGAAACTCGCCCCTTGCCGCAGCCGTACCAGCCTGCCGTGGTGGCGCCGCCAGACACGTCCCAGCCATCTGCTCGTCGGAGCATCTTTTCCGATCTTGACTTTTCCAGTCTTCGGCCCCTGGGCACTGCCGCGCCAACTCGGAGCGTCGGAGCCGGCCCGGGGGATGCAGCAACACCGCTGGCTGCTGCTACCTACTGGCCTACTGGGAGCTTCACGCCTGCTGGCGCGGCAGCAGCGTCGCCGCTTATTGATGTGGCCTCAATGCCTAGCGGGTTGTACACTGCTCCAGTACGTGACATGGACGAGTCGGATGTGGTGCTGCCATCGTTTTCAGCGTTCAGGTGAGACAGGTTTCGCATCCGGCTCGGGAGGGTGTTGTTGTAGAGCGGATAGGGGGTGGTCCAAGTGGTTATAGTGGTTATCTCATGTCAGTGGTGAAGAAACTTAATCGGAAAGACGTGTTCCTTTTAAAATTTCGCAACACAGCGCTTTTACACCGAAGGAAACGGCTGTCGTAGATATCACCTGGCAGCTTTGACCTTGGAGTGCATTGACGCGGTCTTGTTGCATCGCAGAGTTCCGGACCAAAAGTTCCATATGCAAGCCGTTGTCGCAAACTTACTGCCATGGTCGCTTTCATGAAGGAACACAACACTGTGTGCGATGGGCGGTGCTGAATATAAAGAGGAGGGAGGCCGTGCTGGCGGGCATGCATGCTCAAAACTCCTGGGTAGAACTTCTAGTCGCTGATTCATCACGCTTGACTATTTTTTCAGTGTTTTAACGAGCCTCTTCTACCGACCCTTCGACCATTTCCCGACCCCCATTCCATGCGCACCTGCAGGCGAACCGCCTGCACCTTGGCATTCACCGCTTCGCGACCCGCAGCATCAGGTGGCCCGCACTCGGGGCCCCTCACATCCCCCCACCAATCCGCAACAACCACCGTCCCAGTCAGCACGACGGCCGCGGGTCCCAACTCGTCACGTCCGTCGCCTGCCGGCGCCCACACCTCCAACATGGCAGCCGTACAGCCGAGGCCCTTACCCACACAGTACCAAACGCGAAGCCTTGGCGAAGTCATGGTCCGGCCCGGCGGCAGCCTGAACTCAATGCTATCGGCTGCGGCGCCGCCTACCGCCAGCGACACAACAGCGCCGGCGGCGGCTGGGGCCGGCAGCGGGGCGTACGTGGCCTCTCTGTCGGGGTCCGCCGCAGCTGCGATGGCGACGGGCTCGGATGCCGCGGCAGCGGCTCTGGCGCGTAGCCACTCTGGCTTGCCCCAGCCGCTGGTGTTCTGTGTGGGGCCGGAGTTCCGCACGGCACGGGCCACGGGGCTATCCGCGGAGAACTCCATGTCGCTGTCCGCACACACCGCGGCGGCGACGGCTGCACGTGCCAAGTCATCCTTGTCCGCGTCAAGCGGGACGCGCTGAAAGTGGGGTGTCAGAGCAACAGGGTTATCACATGAAGGCACCCGCACGTTTCTCTGTACTCTCGCATGCTTCTCTGTCTGAACGACGATGTGGGATGGATATTTTAGCTGGGAGCAGTGGCATACAAAAGAAGGGGGCGGGGCGTATATCGTCGTCTGTATGCACAGTAATGCACAATGGGTAGCGGGAATTAAAGAGATGCCAAGTAAAGCGAGCCTCTCAGAGCGTCATGGTCGCACTGCAAATCCTGTCTGCTTTTTACCGCCGTTTGAAGCATTACATGATTTTTGCCGTCAATAAACCTGTTTCACAAAAGTGCTGTCGTACATAAATGCTGCATTTGGGGTATTAGGACAGGCAAGCCAATCCGGAACTATCCGGATTGGGGGAAGGCTTATGCTGCTGCTCAAGATATCATCTTCCATGTTGCGACAGACCATGCTATTCAGGTGGCCCATCGAATAATCCGTTCCAACATTTCGGGCATTGTCTTCTTTTATCCACTTCCGCATTCCCGTCTTGTTACGTTTCCCAACGTAACACAAGTTGATGGCGCTTCCTTACTTACATATGGTCCAGCGCATGCAAGGCTAGCAGTCCTTACATAGCACATTTAAGGTCTACAACGTCTTTGCAAAGGTCACGTACACAACCATCGTCGTGGGTATACACAAACCGGAACAGCACGTGCTACTAAGGGATGTGTGCATGAACCCGTGTGCAGCGCCGAACCTCTAACAATAAGCCGGCACATCGGAAAGATCAACGAGTCGGGATCACGGATAACAACGCGCCTCCATCAACAGCGGGCTAATGCATTGCAAATGGCTCATGCACCATACCGCCTCTAGATATCTAATTATTGAGTTCTACGTAATTGTGCTTTCTACGGATTATGGCATCGGTCGGCATTATATCCCTCTTTTATCTTCTGCCGTACAAAGATTGACGACTCCCGCGCAACGATTGCAAGGAGACAGCCATGGCAGCCATCCGGAAGGGGTAATGCCCTCCCCTCGCCAGCTCCGGCCCTGCCGCCACTCCCGCTCTCATCCCAGGGCGCATAATCCGTTGGCCCAAAACGCGAGATGAATCTCACTCAAATGATACATCTCATATCAGCTAGATAATCATTGGGCACCTCATCTTTAAAACGCATAAACAGCGAACTGTGCACCCCAGGAAAAACAAGAACAAACAGCACATCATGCCTCTTGAATACAACAAAATCAATTTAGCTTTTTGAATTGTAAAACGATAGATACGGAGAGGTATGTGCACTAGTCCTACCAATGACAACCATGGCATGCTAAGGGTAACCAAGTCTTTGTTAGGGTGCCACGCGAAAGCAATGCCTATCGCAGAGGACCCTGCTGCTGAGCCGGCTGTGAACCTGGTCCGGAAGACGCTCCACCCTGCAACAAAACATCAAAACTATGTTTACTGGTGGCACAGCTAAACCGCGAATAGTGACAACTGCAGCGATTCATTCATGGGATGCCTGCGACATTGCACCAACACACATAACATCCGTCATGCACCACGGCGGTCCATTTTCGGATACACCCGTCCGGATGAAGAGCAGCACCTGGTCCCAAGTACCTCATTCCCTCGTCGTCAATGGATTGGCCCCCTAGCAAAACAATCCTTTCACCTGCTACTGCCAGGCAAAAGAAACATGCCAACATCAACAGCACTAGCCAGCGGTGGCTTTAACCCCCGCATTCCGAATGTCCGTCATCGCCTCCACGCCATTCAAGCGACCCTCCATTATCCCAGTGAAGGTTTCCTCCACCAGCGGCTCGTGCACGTCAATTGAGAAATAACGCCGCCATATACGATTGATTCGTTCCCGCAAACCGGCCTTGATGAGTTCGGGATTGGCAGGGTCCTTGGTCACATCAAAGGCATCCTCAGGGCGGATGCGTCCATTGAACATGCCCCGTCCGAAAACGGCGAAGAACTGCGCCTCTGTATGCCGATGATGGAGACCCAAATAGCCGATGGGCTCGAAAAATCGGAACAAGGTTTGGTAGCGGCGCTTGAAACCGCGTTTAGCCAGGGAGTAGATGAAATACCGGTCTTGTGAGAGCTCACCATCCGCTGGAAAGCCTTTGGACGCCATCAGGGCTTTAATTTTATCAGAGAGCGGCGGCTCGTGCTTCAGGCGGTAGTCCTGGCCCTTAATCGTGTTGAAGTAGTCGTACAGGTCCTGACGTACGGCAGTGTATCGCGACTTGTGGAAGCCGTAAACCCAAAGATGCCCCATGGATCCATTTACTGGGTTTATCCCCACTGCGAACTTTGCTGCGTCAAGGAATGCTGAGTTGTCCATGTCCAGTAGACTGACGATGCCAATGTCTGGCTGATTAACTGACAGGTCGATCATCCGAGCGAGCAACTGCACAGCATGAAGAAACCCAGGGAGCCATGTGAACAAGCGTCGCTTCCACATGTTAAAATAGAGCGGGCACGCCACATAATGTGTTGTACGGCATGCAACGTCGGTTCAACACCCATGGGAAGCTATGGAACTTTACCGTTACCTGCTCACTAGTATTACTACGTAAATGGCATGACGCTCATGGGACTGAAAGGAAATTCTGCGCTCTCGATGCCTATGAACAACAGTACCACCGAAAAACAGGCATTCCACACGTGTAAACTTGCGGTGGTGTATATCCAAGTGCTGGTCCACGCACATACATGCCACGACGGCGTAACGGCAGCCACGGCAAACTGGGAAAGGTATGCCACGCCCATGCCCACGCTCCATGCCTACCTGCAGCGCCTGTGGATGCACAACGTTGTCCTCCTCTACGATAATGACTCCCTCATAACCCATGATGTCAAAGGCAAAAGCTTTCACGAAATGGTGATGGAGGCCAGTGCAAAGGTTCGCCCGATGTCGGATATAGGCAATCCTGACTGACTCTGGAAAGTGCAAATCCTTATTGATAACATAGCCTGAGCCCGCATCCTGTGAAATGTAGAGGTCGAACTTCTCCACACCGTCACTCCTCATAACAGCTGGCAACGATCTGCGAATGACTTCTGCCCTTTCAAAACACATGTATACCACCGCTATCCTGCTGCGCTTGGTAAAGTCGCCCAAGAGGATTTTCCGCGCAGCGTCATAATCCTTGAGCAAGTCATCCATATAATTTGCGGCCTGCACCGGATTAGGTGCTTCAAGCTGCTGACGAAAAGGCTGACCTGCACGCCTCATGGAGCTCTCCATGATAATACCGTTTGCTGTGTGCTTTTCACCCCGCAAGGAGTTGACGGCCATTTGAGCTTGAGTTAGGTATGCAAACAGCAACCAGGAAACACATCTGCACCATATCATGACGCAGTTTAGCCATCGTTCACGCATTATGCTGTGTTCCTATTTGCAAAGTTCGAAAATGTGCAGCTCTCTGCAGCCTCTACCGCAGAGTGCATCATAGTCAAGATTCCGACATGAGGATGGCTTTCATGTTCCTCTTGACAAATTGGCGCGGTTTGCTATGCTGGCAGGGCACAATCCGTACGCATGCTCGCTCGGCGGACAAAACCGGAGACTTCCTCTACTTTCTGTGCGCTGAAAACGTTATTAAACAAATTGTTTTATTCCGGAGCGCTCGCTTACTTAAAGTTAGAAGTACAGAAGCCCAATATGGGAGATGTTGAGCTTGTCGTATGCTGGTTCGAATTCCGTCAAGGCGATTTTTATGCTTGTTCGCGATTAATTGCAAACGTCAAGCTTAAGAATAATCCTTTTAACAAGTTTCCCTCATACACTTCCTATCTTCTCTTGTCTCAAGCTTATGGGACGCAGCCCTTGGTACACTTTCAGAAGGGAAGCCATTGGAAGGTAAAAGCTATGCATTATATCAGTTTTAACCGTGGTTACCTATGCGATGACTGACGAGCAAGACGTTTCGAGCTACTATTCTGACGGACAGCGAGGAGAGCATGGGTTCAGCTACAGCAGGGGTGCAAAAATGCGTCGTGTGAATGTCATGGTGGGTAGCGCGCTAAGGGTAACCGTTCAGGATGTAAACGTTAGAAGAAAGTTCACTGAATGGGTCTTGAATTATCAGTGAACGGTTGGATAAACGGACTGACCGTTTGTCCAGTGAGCGCTCACCAAGTTGGTGACACCACTGTTCACTGAACGTTCAGAAGGGCATCGGGGGCAGCGGTTTTGCCGCTGTTGTGGTACTACTAGCCGAATCGAGGATGAAAAACACGTGTTATTGGAATGCCCAGCCTATAATGATATTCGTGCTGAAGAACCAGCACGTCTGGCGAGGATGTTGGAACGTATGTGGGCTCACCGAAACTCAGCTACCCCTTTTGGACGCTAGTCTGGGCTGATGTGCGGTGTTTCCTGTTCTCCGTGGCTTTTAGGCGTTGATGTATTGCCCTTGGGCCTTCGGCTCGTATGGGTAGTTTTACAGGTATGGGGTCACGCACCCCCAACCATGTAACACACACACACACACACACACACACACACACACACACACACACACACACACACACACACACACACACACACACAAGAAGGGCATCTTAAGGAATTGAAGTTAAACTGATTAAGCTGAAGTTAAACTCCTATTAAGTAAGAGCGAAGGACCAACATGAATGTTTCCAAGAGGGTGGTTGAAGACTTGGATTGCAGAGAAGAAGGCCGTTAGCTTGCATACGTTCTATCGCACAGCTCAGAGAATAGGACCGTTCAAATTTTGAATCCATCGCGCTACAGCCTGAGCTGTGTACGAGTAATTGTTCATGCCTCCGCTGATACTGAGAGAATTTCATATAGCGGAGCGCAGTTATCTTGCAGTGTAAGGGCCCTTGGCAGCCGGTCCCCGTTCATTCGTTCGCCGTCGGTTCCAGTCAGCTTTGGCAAAGGCACGGGACTACAGGTTACGGGAGACAGTGTTGGAAAAGACCGACAAGCATATACCACTGGATGGTAACACAGTAATAAAACACGGCGGGGTTCGGCGCTTTGCTGGTTTTAACAGGTTATGAGCCCCGAATGGCGCATTGCGCTGCCGAGAGATCGCCGGATCAATACCCACTGGCTAATGCCCAGAGAATGGTAGACCGGGATGAAGCACGGGAAGGCCCGGAGCGTGAGTGACGCTCACGGGGGGTTGTTGGAATTGACCGACATCCATATACCAGTCGATGGTAACAGCAGTATTAGGACCCGGCGGGGGTCCGGCGCTTTGCTGGTTTTAACAGACAGGAGCACAGAAGCAAAAAGTTCTGCATGGCGGTTGTGATCAGATTCAACAGTACGTCACAAGCCTGGTTTAGGACGAGAAATTCCTTGATGACGTGAGATATAAATAGTCAGTCTATCTGAGTAACGGATTGAGAACAATCGTCAAAATTCGCTGCATGCTACGGCCGACTATACGGCCTTGGCCTGGCCATTGGCCAGGCCAAACCGATGTACGTCAGCCTTACTGAGCTAAGCCCCAGTCAAGCCCTAAGGGCTTGAAGGATGACATAAGAGAGTTTAATTTCATTTGCAACCAATTCAGTTACACAGCATTATGATGAGTCGTCTCATCGCTTGTAGGGTGAAATGCCTGGTAGTTTGGTATATATATACGTCATGCCTGCTTTCAGCAAATATTGTAAAAGCTAATTCTTATCGGCGTCACTTAAGCACAACCGAAGCTGCGATGGATAATTTAGCGAGAGGTTTAGCACGCCGATCCCGCCAACCTTTTGAAGCACCCGATCCATCTTTTGCCGCGAAGTACATGGATGAACTGCTTAGCGACTATGGGTCTGCACGAAGGACGCTTGTGGGCAACTTCATCAAACGCAGCAGGATAGCGGTGGCTTACATGTGCTTTGAAAGGGCAGAAGTTATTCGCAGATCCTTACCAGCTGTTATGAGAAGTGATGGCGTGGAGAATTTCGACATTTTCATTTCTCAAGATGGAGGAGCCGGTTACGCTATTGATAAGGACGTGCACTTTCCAGAGTCAGCCAGGATTGCTTACATCCGACATAGGGCGAACCTTTGCACCGGTCTCCACCACCACTTCGTGAAAGCGTTTGCTTTTGACATCATGGGTTATGATGGACTTATTGTCGTAGAGGAGGACAACGTCGTGCATCCACAGGCGCTGCAGGTAGGCATGGAGCGAGTAGCCGCCGTTTCAACCGGTATAAGTTTAGAAGAACACGACACCTTAACTCATTTTTCAGACTCACACTATTCATATGGCAACAAGGTCTACGTCTGGTCCTTGAAGCCTAACCATTCATCCATGTGTAAACTCATATACCTTATCTATGGCATGCCCCATCGATGTGAATGTGAAAGCAAACTGCACGCCTCCGGTCATTATCTTGCTGTACAATAACAATCCGCTGGATTCCGATCTGGGTTTCTTCATGCTGTGCAGTTGCTCGCTCGGATGATTGACCTCTCAGTCGATCAGCCTGACGTTGGCATCGCCAGTCTGCTTGACATGGACAACTCAGCATTCCTCGACGCAGCAAAGTTCGCAGTGGGGATAAACCCAGTAAATGGATCCATGGGGCATCTTTGGGTTTACGGCTTCCACAAGTCGCGATACACTGCCGTACGTCAGGACCTGTACGACTACTTCAATACGATTAAGGGCCAGGACTACCGCTTGAAGCACGAGCCGCCGCTCTCTGACAAAATTAAAGCCCTGATGGCGTCCAAAGGCTTTCCAGCGGATGGTGAGCTCTCACAAGACCGGTATTTCATCTACTCCCTGGCTAAGCGCGGTTTCAAGCGCCGCTACCAAACCTTGTTCCGATTTTTCGAGCCAATCGGCTATTTGGGTCTCCATCACCGGCATACAGAGGCGCAGTTCTTCGCCGTTTTCGGACGGGGCATGTTCAATGGACGCATCCGCCCTGAGGATGCCTTTGATGTGACCACAGAGCCTGTAAATCTCGAACTCATCAAGGCCGGTGTGCGGGAACGAATCAACCGCGTATGGCGGCGCTACTTTCCGGCTGATGTGCACGAGCCGCTTGTGGTCAACACATTTAATTCTCTCATGGAGGGCCGCTTGAATGGCGTGGAGGCGATGACGGACATCCGTAATGCGGGGATTAAAGCCACAGCGGGCTCGAGATTAGGGCAATAGCGAGGCAGCGCAGGGTGTGTGCCTGATGGTTTCCTTGCCAGTTGTGCATAATGGTGTTAGGAATACCTGCCGTCACCTTCTTCTGATTCAAGACGATCTGCTGAGGAAGCGGCGCGCTATGTGTGTTCTGAACTGCGCGCAGGCTATGTACAGGGGGGTGAACGATTGATGCTTTCAATATGGGAAATCGAATGAATATCGATATATATGTGTGTATATTTGTAGGGACGACCATTCGGCTGTGTACGGCATACAGTTGTATGGTACATACAAGCAGCAGCGTAGCAGCAGCAGCGGCGGCAATACACGTACATATACATGGCGTGCGGCAATATGACGGAGAGCGAGCGGGGTACACACGTATATATTTCGTATGATGAGTGTGCGCGCGCGGTATATATAGCATAATGCATACGTGAGTGGAATGCTGTGGCAGATGTGGCATGACTGACATGAGGGGGCAAGAAAGGTAGGTAGGTAGGTGGGATGCGCATTGTTCTTTTTAGATATTAGATACCTCTTATTGCAGCAGCACTTGCTTGTTACTTGCGGAATGGCTGTCCGCCCGGCCGCCCACATACACCGATCACTATCCGTTTGCTATTGGCTGATGGATGCATGGATGAATGGATGGATGAGTGCGTGCAGTCGGGAACTCCGAATTATCCGCCTCTCGCTCCTACAGTTAATGTTAGACTATTAATAGCCTTGCCGGATGGATGGATGGATGGAAGGAGCCTTTTGCGTGATGACGGGTACTCGTTCGTCCGCGGGGAGTTGTTGTGCTGGAGCTGATGATGATGGATGCATTCCAGCAGCGTCCTGATAATAACTGACACGGACTTGGTCATCACACTTGGCATCTCAAGGGGCATGCGTGGGTTACTGCTGTCTACCTATCCATTTAGATGGATGTTGCCAACTGCCAACTGACAGCTGACACACGTTCCACGTTCCTCTACGCGCATATACATCTCCATCACTACTTGTCTCGTATCATATGACTCAACCCCGAGTCGACTGTAGCTATGTAGCCGTATTGGGTCTTGGTAAATATAACTGCGAAAGGTGCCGCTTGAATTCCATGCTGCTGTGTTGTGTACTTTGTTTTTAAAGAAATGACATAATGTCCTACTGCTGATGTCATCGGCTCGTACATAGCTCAAGATAATGAGATTGTAAACGCGACCGTTGGTGGTGTTTCGTGTACGACAATAGTAGTGCTGACGTAGCATGTAGCATGCGCTGAAGAACATGATCTGTGTGTGTGTGTGCGTGCGTGCGATGGTGAGCAGCTCGAGGGTACCCCAATAACTACATATAGGGTGCAGGCGGCAGCGCGCTTCCTGTTGTGCGGCAGTTGGCAGCATTAGCACATATATGTGATGAATGAAGAGGTCTGGCCATGCTTGCGTTGTGGTGTGCATAGTTGGTTTCCGTTATCTTACTGCTGGTTTTGTGTCACAATTTTCGTTGGGCATAGCGCGTCTATCTTTACACTATTCGCACATCAATGTGTGCCATAAAGGCGGTGCTGTAAATAGCATGCTTTGCGTCTGTAAAATGCCTTCCGCTGAGGAGAAGGGGCGGGGGTGTTGGGGACAGCTGCCGTGCTTCCCGACAAGTTGGTGACACTGACGATGGACAGACAAATAAAACATGGGCGTGATAATAACTAGCTAGGTGTGGGCCTCCCTAGTAAGCAGCTAGCTAGATTATAAGTTACAAGTTCCGCACACAAGTGCGGGTGTTTCCGTAAAAGCCGGGGGGGCCATGGACATTGTATTGGTATTGATGCGGGTAAGCGGGAGGCCATCATCGTCCTCCATCGTTCGCTTCAGGGCGCAGCGCCTCAGCTAGGTGTGGGCAAATGTGGGTGGGCGCATGGGACGAGCGTTGTGTGATACTACGAACGTAAAAAGATATATCCCGGGCTGTCCTGGGTTTCGGATGTTATGCCCCAAGCTAGGGCGCTGTTTATCTTCTTCTTAGCGAGTTATATTTACGACTTCATCATTTGATAGCGTCGAGCCAGGACAGATAGTCCTTTCGCCAAGCATTTACGCATGCACGCAAGTGTGATAGGCAACGAAGTGTAAAAACGAGGACGTGTTCAGCTTTATCTCCGTGCTAGTGGAAGGATCATTTGTGAATCTTCCTGGCCAACCCCGGGAAATGAAGACAGCCCGAGACCCGAGAAGGAGAAAAATGACGCTGCAAGACAGCAGTGTGTGGCAGCGTAACTCGGCAGCAGCTACTGTGAACAGGTTCCAAACGGGAATGAGCTGTGGCATGAAAGATAATTGCGGGGCGCGCGGCAGCTCCGTTACCGGCTCCGCTACCAGCTACATTATCGCCCGGAATGCACACTTATGTGATAAAAACTGGCTTCGGATATGTTATTATGCATTGGTTACAATAACACAACAACTGCATGTACTTCTGCTCACGATATTGTATCCCACGTTTCGAAAAAAACCAGTTTGGCCGTACAGGCCGTACGCACTAACGGCCTTCCTGCCTCAGTCATGCGTAGCCTGCAGGCAAACGGCAGCACAACAAGTAACGACTGCACAAGCAGCTGAGCCTTACCTTACTCCTTACTGTGTGCGAAAAAGCTCAAGCTGATATTTCCCTGCTTGAAAATGCAAGCTGTCCTTCTTCCCAAATCCGTAGCACCGTATGTCTTTCGGCGAAAACATATAGTGACCAATTGCTTACATGTGCATTCACCTTATCCTGTGGCGTCAGCGGCCTCCGCGCCGTCGGCGTGCCGACAAGGAGTTGTATCGCGACCTCAATCCCTAGCATCCCCCACGCAGCAAATTGGGCGAGGAGCTTGCTTAATTGCATCTGCGTCGGCTGCTAGTGCACCTATTGAGCAACCGAGGCTGAACTGGAAGCTACCGGTGTACATTTTCCTTTGGTAAGCAGGCCCTGAACTGCGCCCATTCCAAGGATGCCGATTGAATTCTATGGCTGAAAGCAAATACGAATTTTTGGCAGGTACGCATTCAACATTATCTTCAACATCATTAACAAGAGCACGCTCAACACGTTTCCGTGCCCATGGTTCATCGGAACTTGGCAACTTAGTGAGTAGAGCCGAATCCGCGTTGAACAACCTCCGCAGGACTGTTGCAGCTCGACATGTTAATATATATTGCGATCACTATGGTAGAAGGTTTAGGGTTTGCCATTTCCTCCCGAAATGCAGTCGCTACCCTTACCTCGGGTGGCCATACATCTACCGAGATATTGGAAACACACAAAACAGCCATTATTGGATGATGGCCTTCTTGCCGCAACCTTTGGTGCAGGAGCTTGCATTTTTAACACACGCGCCGTCGATCCCACTTCCCCTCATGCCTTCCCTTCCCGCCTCCATCCAGTCGCCAGTGGTCTGTTCATGGCCTTGTTGTGGGTGACCCGGCTCCATCCGGTTCCCGCCGTGGACGCCAAATTCTTCGCCGCGCTTTTGCCGGTGGCGCTTTTCCACACGGTGGGGCACATCGCCGCGGTGGTTTCCTTCAGCCAGATGGCGGTGTCCTTTGCGCACATCGTCAAGAGCGCGGAGCCCGTGTTCTCCGTGGCCCTCAGCGGCCCGCTGCTCGGGGTCACCTACCCCTGGTGAGGATGAGGATGTGTATCAGTGGATGTCATTTGAGTACGAGAGAGATGGCGAGCAGGAGGAAGAGGAAGAGGACTTTGGGCGCGGGTGGTGTGTGTGTGTGTGCATGGTGTGAGGGCCAAGTGAGGCGGCTGCGTGGTGATAATGTGGAGGCGGGACCCAGGCCCACGGGGGTTGGGGCCGGATGGGGGGATGTGGGAATATAGGAACACGGCCATGGGGGGTTGCGGTTGTGTGCAGGGATATATGAGGAGGGGTATATGCTGAATGACGGGCGGTCCTCTCTGGCTGGGCGGTGGAAAGGAGGGGGGGGGAGATATGGTAGGAACCGGTAGTTTGACAGCTTTGCAATGCACTTCCCGTCAGTCCATACCCTTCAGCGCAAAACACAAATCCTTCCCACAACAATTTCTCCCCTTCCCCCCCTCCGCCATGCCAACCCATGGTAAAACCCTGGCAGGTACGTGTGGGCGTCCCTTCTCCCCATTGTGGCCGGCTGCTCCCTGTCGGCCATGAAGGAGGTCAGAGCGGGGAGTACCTGGGTGGGAGGGGCGAACAGGGAATTTCTCACCTTGAATGTGCTCTTCGCTCATTAGGCATGGTGGATGTCAGGGCGTCGGCTGCATGAGACCTGTGACTTATGACTTCCTGGACATCCTTTACCCGGGGGCCATACGATATTCCCTTCCCTTCCCCACCCGCTGGGGGATATTAGCAGTGGTGGTAGTAATGCTGTTCGACCACATTAATCCCAAGTAGCAGTTGCAGCAGTTGTACGACGGGCATCAGTAACCGACCACCCGGGGGCTTCCAGGGGGAGGCTGTTTGCAGAGGGAAGGAAGGGTGGGGGAGGAGAGAGGTTACAGAGGCTATAATGGCGCTGCGACCCCGTCACTGATTGTATTGTCGGGGACAGAGGGCGGGGCGCTGGAGGGTGGGCGGGGGGGGGGCCCCCGGGAGATGGACGGAGCGGCTGGGACGTAGGGGGGAAGGAGGGAGGGAGGAAAATACCGTGTCATTGTCGCAGTCCCCCCTCCCTCTCTCCCGTCCCAAACCTCTTTATCACCTCTCCTTGCCCTTCTCCCCTTTTTTTGGGGGGGAGGGAGAAATTGGGTTGCCAGTTCTCCCCCTTCCTCTTCTCCCTTTCCCCTCCTTAATTATTTCCGCACCCCCTAATCCCCCTTTCCACCACCACCGCCACGCCACCCCCTCAAGGTGAGCTTCGCCTGGAACGGATTCAACAACGCCATGATATCCAACCTGGGCATGGTGCTCAGAAACATTTACTCCAAAAAGTCATTAAATGAATACAAGGTAGGATGCGAGTTTCAGGAGTCGACACGGAGGTGTGTGTTTTTCCTTTCGTTAAGAACCCTCCGCCAGTGCTGCTAGCTTGCGAAGTGAGTGGCTACTCCATCGCTTGTTGCCACCACCCCACCCCACACCCCACACCGCAGTTGCCGCCACGCTACACGGGCGGTAGTCGGTGCGGCCTCCCCACCACTGGTTTGGTCGCGTCCCCTGCTTCCCATCCCACCGATTACCTACCACACATCACGACCATCACGTACGGCAGTACGGCAGCTTTCTCCTCGCTTCATAACCTTCGTCTACTTCATTGTTGTCACTCGATCCCCCCCGACCCCGGGAACCCGAAGCCCGCCTCCCTCTTTCATAACCCCCCGGCTTCCCCCCGCCAATCCCGTCTTGCCCCATCCTCCCCTCCCCTCCCCCCCCGTTTTCGCGTATGTACGTACATACATACATACACTGCGCACGTGCTGCAGCACATTGACGGGATCAACTTGTTCGGGCTCATCTCCATCGCCTCCCTGCTGTACTGCCTACCGGCCGCCCTGGTACTGGAGAGCGGCTCCTGGGGGGCAGCCTGGCAGGCGGCTGCGGGGAAAGCGGGGCAGCAGGCCACACTGCAGCTGCTGCTGTGGGGGGGTGTCTTCTACCACCTGTATAACCAGGTAGGGGTGTGCTCGGGCTGTGTGTGTGTGCGTGTGCAGGATTGTATGTTTATCTGTATGTAATGCGTGAAGGAGTTCGGGGCCGTTGGTGACGTTCTCGTTGTACGAAGCTCGTTACCGGACATCCGATCATGAGCCGAAACGTCGCACAGCACAGCACAGTGCAATACACTTCGACTGCTCTTCACGCCCTTTCCCTCTTTCCCCCCGCCCCCCTTTCCCCTTCACACAAACACATACATAACCACCACCTCTCCTGTCGTCGTCGTATTACTCTGTGTACGTCAGTTGTCGTACATGGTACTCGACCAGGGTATCAGTCCGGTCACCTTCAGTGTGGGCAACACCATGAAGCGGGTGGCGGTGGTGGTGTCCTCGGTCGCGTTCTTCCGCAACCCCGTGTCGCCGCTAAACTGGGCGGGGTCCTTCATCGCCATTGCGGGCACCTACCTGTACTCGCTGGCTACGGACCGGTACGCGGCGGAGAAGAAGAAGAAGCAAACGGCATGATGACGATGATGATGCGTGACTGTCATTGCTATTGTTATTTGATGATGATGATGATGATGATGATGATGATGATGAGGGGGAGGAGGAGGAGGAGGAGCTCGGGTTTGGATGGAGGGAACGGGAAGGCGGAGGAATGGGAGGCGATGGAAAAGTGGGAGAAGGGAACGGGGGAAGGGAGAGGGGTTGTGGGAGTTTAGGTGGGAATGTGGCGGCGGCAGCAGCGACCGGCACTGACAATGCGTAGAGGGGAGCAGTGGGAGCTTGGATGGGGGAGGGAAACGTGTGTACGGTAAATAGGAAGGGGAGAAGCACGGAAGGGGCAGGGGCGATAGGGGGGGCAAAACACAACTAGGTCCGGCAGATTTGGTCCGGTCCGGTGATGTAGAGCAACAGGGGACAGGACAGAGCAGTTGGTGGTGATTGTTACTCCAGGCGCATTGTCAGTTGGTTGGTTGGTTGGTTAGTCAATTGGTTACAGCGCTGAATGGGCCCTATACTCACATGCACTCAACTCATCCGTCCCTCCTCTGCATACAGACAGACGTACACACAGACACAAAGAAGAGCATCCGGTAGCTGCCCCTTGGCCAGCCCCAGCCCCAGTTAGAGGGTGTAACAACACACATACATACATGCGTACAAATATGGCGGGAATTCTCGCTAGTACGCGAGTGAGCGTGGTTATTGGTGTTGCGGTCGCTGTGGTTGCCTGGTAGGGCGTAATGGTGGTGCGGGGGGAGGTGTCGGGATGCGCGGCGGTGTGGCGGCGCATTTTGGGGGGCGTAGTTGTTGTGGCGGCGGCACCAACAAACCCTTCGGATTGCACTTTGGGTCGTCTATTGAAACTCCCGCCTAAAACAGAAAAATAAAGTTCACGACGGAGTCGAACCGCGTGCAGAATAGAGGAGCATCCGCCATTTCCATCCGCCGCCGTTTCGTACACGAAAGCTCCTCTGCGTCCCGAAAGATCTCGGGAGCTGGCAGTCAATGATGCATATGGGCAGAAGACACAGGAATGGACCCGTTCCCGAAACCATGAATACTCCTTCTGCCGACTTCTGGTTGTTGGTGGTCTTGATAAGTTGTCGTAGTTTCTGTTGTTTGTCGTCGGACAGGGTGGTTGCGTTGGACTGTTGAATGTTGGCAACGATTGAAACGTTTTCCCGACAGCTAGCTCGATTCCATTTACTTTCGCTCAACACGGACCCGTTCAGATGCCCGCAGGGGTTTAAGGAAAAAGATATCGGATCACGTGGCAATAATGGAAGTCACGTTTGGGATCTGGGGGCAATTTGCAAGTTTTGCACTTGGTTAACGTGATTCAGTTAAGTGTGATTCACAGTGGGGCGCTAGAGGCGCAGGGACTAGATGAGCAGTGCTGAACCGAGCGAAGGTGCTGAAAGGGTGTATTTTGCTGCCGTGCACGTTAAGGTGGCACAGAGGAAGCGCCGCACAGGACTTTTATGGTCTACACTCTGCATGATGTTTGGCTAGATGGTTGGCTACCCGAAAGGAAGCCAGCACGTATGGGCTCCGCGGGTCGAAAGTCACGAGGTCTACTAGCTGGCAAAATAACAACTCCATACAACTTGCCAGGCTATTTTGTGCTAAATTAATTTGTCCGCACATAATAGATGAAAGGGCCACTCGAAAGAGGCTCGAAGCGTCAAGCGTCGCGAAGGACAACTTTCCACAAACGTGCACCCAGACCACCGTTTACAGCAGGAGAGTATAAAATATTGAACTATACGTATTTAACCCAATTATCCATGGACCTTGCATGGAGCAACCATCGACTATCTTGCGGGCGGTCTAGCCATGAAGTAGCGGAACCTTCAATTCATACTTTCAACCGTCCCATACGTCTCGAGTTTAAAGGCCTATAAGTACTAGTTCAACTTGAATAGGCTTCCGTACCCCCGCGTAGCCTGCCGCCTACGGTACCGTAGGCGCATTTAAACTTCTTTTTCGCCCCGTAAAGAGCAAGCTCTGGATTCCTTCTAGGATTTAGATTGCACTTTTATTGCTCAACTATCTTGGGCATCTCCGTCAAGCAATGTTCAATTACGAGCAAGCTAATGACTTTAGCGGTTACGGCGGGGGCGTCCCAAAGCCCCACGTTGTATGCTGGTCATGCATCGTTATGGGCATGTGCGAGGTGTTATGCGAAAAAATTGAGCAAGGCGTAGGATTTCTGCAGTCTTGCTTTGACAGCTTGGCGATGGATGATGTCAGGAGCAGAGCCAGCATCAAGCCTTATCAGCGCGCAGACCTATTCGAGTATGGTCTGGACTGCATCGCGTTGGGTGGCATGGAGTTCACAGCGAGGCAGAGCTTCAGCGATCGAAGGCGTCCTTAACTAGATCCCTCGGGTCTGCTTCGCGGTAGGCGCTCATCGGTGCGAACAGTGGAGCGCACAGCATCCTCTGGCGTCACACGCGCGATCTTTCTGTAACAAAACTTATTTTGTATTTTCGAATTTCGCAGGGCATCTGCAAGTAAATTGTTGTCATGCTTTGGGGCTCTCCGGCGGAGGAATCGCAGCCACACCAGCACCTCCGCAAAGCGCTGGTCGGGTCATCGCTCCGTGAGGCACTGGTAATTACGAGGAAAGCGCGTTGGTGCCAATGGACGCGTGGCAAGGAGGATATGGGCGAGGAGGACATTTTTACTCCAAGAAAGTCATGCGGCACGGTACTCTGCCGTATGGCCTCACAGGAGCCCGAGCGCACACACCATGATCGGTTGTCATGCCGTAGCGGCCCCCCACGCAGGGGTAGCTGCATTTCTGTAGGAAACGTTGTTTGCAATCGGTCTGGTCGTCGCTGATGTACATTAACCACATTTCGGTTGCGAAAGTTCGGTTGACGCGCAGGGATGAAGAGTGCTATAGAGTGTGCGTGTGTGTGTGTGTGTGCATGTACGGAGTCGTTTTTGCTTGATACGGCATCAAGCACGGGTTGAGGGGAGGGGCCTTTTTTGAGTGGAGTGGTTGGTCTGGGGGTATCGCGCCCGCCATGATTTTTTTATCCTTCGCCACGGCCACGTACCACTTGTGACACAGAACATTCTTTCGCGCCACGTCATCGGGCGTCCATCGTTTTGATTTTCAAACTGAGGCCAACTGGAAAATCGGAAGCCAGCGTTGAGGCGATCATGTTTTGTCACTCGACGACCCAAGGTCACACACGGCCGGGCGGAACCTCTTTCTGCTCTCCTCGTTTTGTTGCTCGTGCAGTATAAACGAGCTGTTGTATTGTCATTTTGAAATTTGGGTCGACCGGGGGAAGGCAGGGTAAGGAATATTGGTGCTCGTAGCAGCACCCGCGGAGTTGCACACGCACACTGGCAGGTAGCACAGACGGTTAACATGGCGGGGTGAGCGCAGTAGCTATTCGGCAGTGGAGGAGCGGTTGTGGGTGATGTAGGGGTGTCCACAGCTTGGACGAGTTTGACTAGGATTTGTTGAATCTTTCGGTTGGCGAAATACATACTTACATACGGGGACACGTACGTCCTTTTTGCAATTAGCTTATTGGTGTTATTTTGCATTGGATGCTGGTGGGGATGATTGCGGTGTTATGCTTTTATAGGAGAGAAATACGATCGGCCAACCGTTCTTGGGGCGAGGGGGAAGGAATCAGGGTGTCCCGAGCTCTTCAACTTTGTGGCTTGTAAGGTAAAAGTTATGCCGGCAGTGTCGTTAAGTCCTCTCTAGAATTATGACCTAACGAATTCGGGTGGCAGTTTGCGATTGAACTTTGTAAGATAGCATTGGTGTGCAGTCTTCATGCCAAACTCCAAAAATTGGTTTTCGGATGGCGAGTCAACGTTGTGGCGTATGTTGTAATATGTCTTTTTGGGCGAGTGCTGGCCTGGGGGAGAACTTCCCTGAACAGCCACGGCCGGACGGGACGGTCAGAGCTCCTGTCTAAAGAGGGTATGAAGGCTTTTTCTGGATGATGACAGTGTACTACGCGCATTATTTCTGAAACCGGGACGAATGACGTTTTGCCCCACCATATATCTCCTGTTGTTGTAACTGCGAAATGAAACTGCTTATGCTAGGAACTGCTGATCCACGCGGTCCACTGAAACTTGCACTGGGCCTGGGCGCACTCTCCTTCCCCTCTGCCTCTCTCCTCCATCTGACCTTAAAAGAAGCCGGAAATTGCGTCCGCAACCACGTCGTACCGAGCCCACATCTGTGCACCGCTTCGTCACCAGGGGGAACAAGCCAGGAGGCCGAAAGATTCCTACTACTAAGGTACGACAGATGTACGACACGCGATAATGCACAAAAAGGCTTGTCGTGGTTAAAATATTTTGGAGAGATCCCCTTTCGACTGTTCACTGTTGTGCCAAAGGCAGTACCGGCAGACTCAAAGTACCGGCAACACTGATACCCCTCATCCTGGCTCAAGTCATACTTGCAATCCCCCCACCACGACAACCACCACCACGACAACCACAACCACAACCAGCATCGGGAAGGCAGCGGCGGAACAAAAAAAAGCAAAAACCCGCCACCTACTGACTCCCCCATCCTCCACCTGCACCCCCCCCAAAGCACAAGAGAAAGCCCCCTAAGAAAACACCTTCCTTACCTCTTCCTTCACCCTTCCCCCCAAAAAAGAACAACAACAACAGCAGCAACAGATATCCCTAGACCCCCACCCTCCAAGGCCCCTTCGAAAGGGGACCGGGATACGCCCCCGGGGGCCGGGGCATCCCCATCGTCACCCCAAACCGAAATGGACCCCTCAAGCCCTTCACACAAATCCGCCCGCGAGACACTCTAGCTAGGAGCGCCAACCGCACCACCACCTCCCTTTTACCCACCACCACCTCGCACACCTTCCCAACCATCAACTCCTGGTTGGTACGTGTTCCTGACCCCGTCGCCAGTGCCCTCGTTCCTCCGTGTCTGTACCCCGACAGGATATCCTCCTCTGTCACATAATCATAAGGCCCTCTTCCTCAGTAAGACTCGCTTCACTCAGTGCTTGTATCGCATGGTGGCCTTCTCGAAGCCGATGGTGGGGAAGCGCATGGCGAAGGTCTCCACGTCCTTCTTCAGCGCAGTCAACTCGGCAGGAGCCTGTGGGGGCGGGAGAGGGGAGGGAGAAGGAGGGGGACAGGAATCTTTTAGTATCCAACAAGCAAGGAAACAATAAATGAACTGCCGACGTCCAAAATTTGAAAGGAGTGGGAGTAGAAGGAGCAGAAGGGGGAGTTCGCGAGGTGGGGAGTGGGGGGGAGGAAAACTAGTAAAATATCGTTACTAGCTGGTGGTTATAGGACAGCTAGCCCAGGGCAGGATCAATTTGCAAAAGCAAATCAACAGTAACAGTAACTGACAACGGAACGACGACCCAAATGCCCTTCACCCCCTCTCTTCTGACCCTCCCCACATCCCCTTAGCCCCCGTTCCTCCTCCTCCTCCTCCTCCTCTCCACCTCCCCTCCTCCTCCTCTCCACCTCCTCCTCTCCACCTCCCCTGCTCCTCCTCCCCCCCTCACCTCCTTGTTCAGGTACTCTCGGAACTCCTTCAGCTTGGGGAACTGCGACTTGAGCCCCACCGCGATGTTGACCGCTCGGTCAACGTACTCGGCAACCTGATGGATGGGGCGGGGAGGGGCGGGGAGGGGCGGGGAGGGGCGGGATGAGGGATTCCCGAGGAGTGATTGGGGGGGCCCGAAGGAAATGTTGGGAGAGGGGATTATACAGCGGGTTGAGGTAAGGGGCACCAAGTAGGGGTCATTACCCACGGGTCTTGGCCCTCCCCTTTGCCCTTATTTTACACATAACCCTAAAGCCCGTGAGCAACCCCTCAATTACCTCAACCGCCAAGACTAATAACCCCGATTCTCCCCGACCCTTCCCCCCTAAACTTCCATCACCTCCATCACCGACCTGTTCGAAGTCGTCCTCCACGAAGCCCCGGGACGTGAGGGCGGGTGAGCCCATCCGCAGCCCGCCGGGCACCAGCGCCGAGATGTCGCCCGGTACGGTGTTCTTGTTGGCCGCGATGTGGGCCAACTCCAACACGCGCTCCACCCGGGAGCCGTCGACTCCCTGACGGGGACGAGGATGTGGGGCCAGGGGAGTGTGGGGCCAGGGGAGTGTGGGGCCAGGGGAGTGTGGGGCCAGGGGAGTGTGGGGCCAGGGGAGTGTGGGGCCAGGGGAGTGTGGGGGCGGGGGAGTGTGGGGCCAGGGGAGTGTGGGGGCGGGGGAGTGTGTGGCAGGTGTTATGTGTGTGGGGAGTATGTGTGCGTGGGGGAGGGGAGGAGAGGGGGGTAAGACGAATCACTGGCGGATGAAGCAGAGGTACCGGTAATAGAAGGGTATAGTCCAGGATTAGACAAATGAAGGGGACAAATGGGGGAACATTTCCTGACCAATGTTATGACTTGATTAGTGTGTGTGTATGTGTATGTGGGGGGGAAGAGGGGGAGGGAATGACTTGAGAAGGAAAAGGAGGCACAAGTCACTCCTCCTCCCACCTTGGGCCGCAGGTCCACCAGCACGATGTGGTTGTCAGTGCCCCCCGACACCAACTTGTGCCCCCTCTTGGCCATTCCCCTGGCGAGAGCTTGACTGTTGGAAAGAACCTGAAATAAGGAGCGGGGTGGACGAGGGGGGAGGGAGTGGGGGCAAGACGAACCACTGGCGAGAATGGAACAGATACCAAAGACAGGGCGAGAGGAGAGACGGGGGAGGGAGGGGGAGGGAGGAAGAAGGGAGGGGGAGGAAAGACGAGCCACACACGAGTGAAGCTGCTGCCAGGGCAAGAGTGTACCAAACGTAGAACTGACCGAAAGGCGTCCGTGAAGACCGCGACCTCGGGAAGGGGGGGAGATGATATGCGACAAGGCAAACAAGTCCCACTCCAGATGTTCGAGGAGGTGGAGGAGGAGGAGGAGGAGGGCGCCCCCCCCCCGGGGGAAGACATGCCACCTCTCTGAATGCACCTCTCTGATGAAAAACCAAAACAGCATATTGAAGCTACCAATGCCAAATAGATCAACATCATTTCACGACGGCGGCAATCTGAAGAATCGAAACGCGAACTGCACAGTTTGGGTGGCGGGGAGGGGGCTGGAGAGCGGCAAAGCAGCAAAACCCTACAACCCCATGTCCCACACGCGACAGGGGCCCGGGACCAAGGGCCCCCGCCTCCCCCTCACCCCCCCCACCACAGCTTCCGTACCTGCTTCTGGTACGCAACGAACTCGGGCGTCGCCGCTTGTTTGAGGGCGCATGCAAGTCCAGAAATGGTGTGGTTGTGGGGACCGCCCTGTTGGGTGCACGTGTGTATGTATGTATGTGGGGGCGTGGGCAGTGAGATATAGAGATACGGAAGAAGGGACACCGTACCCGGTTCAAGATGACGGAGAGGAGGGGGGATAGACGGCACCGGGGGGGGGAAAAGAGGGACGAGCGCCCAAAACCCACAATTGGTCCAAGACAGAAACAAAATGCACATACATACATACATACATACATACATACATACATACATACATACATACATACATACATACATACACGCATACATACACGCATACATACATTACTCAAATCAAACCCCCTCCTGCACACACGTGTTTTTCATTCCCACCCCTCCACCCCCCACACCACTATACTCCCCCCCCCGGGGGGGGGTCAAACGGCCTAACCTGCAGCCCGGGGAACACGGCAAAGTTAATCTTGTCCTCAATGTCGTACATCACGGGCTTGCCCGTCTTGGCATCCGTACGCCGTACTCCCCTCCGGAAGAAGATCATGGCGCCGCGCGGCCCCCTCAGCGACTTGTGGGTGGTCGTGGTAACCACGTCCGCGTAGCCGAAGGGAGAGGGCACCAGATCCGCCGCCACCAGCCCGCTGATATGAGCCATGTCGGCAAGGAGCCAGGCGCCAACCTTAGAGGGCGGAGGGGGAAGAGGGGAGAGATTTTAATAATGAAGAGAAAATATTTAATAATGAATAAAACATGTACACGAAGCAGAAACACATGCCGTACATGATGACGTGTTCCGCCGTCCAGTCCATTAACCATTGCCGTACCTTGTCGGCAATGGCGCGCATCCGCGGGTAGTCGTAGTGCCGCGTGTACGCTGAAGCACCTGCATGTACGACGAAATGGGACGAGCGGAGATGGAGGCATGGCAGGGCAAAATCCAACAAATTCAAATATTTTGTTATTTGCCGTTTCTTCCCGCCCTGCATTCCGCTCAGCGCCCGCTTCCATCTGCATCCCGCCAAACCGCCACCACCACCTCACCTGCCACAATCAACTTGGGGCGGAACAGTACGGCAGTCCTCTCCAGCATGTCGTAGTCGATAAGGCCCGTCTCCTCGTTCAGGCGGTACGGCATTTGCTGCGGTAGGCGCAGCGTCATAAAACAGCAACAGGGACAGGACAAGACTTCCCCGTCATCACCATGCAGCGCAACTCGAAAACCGGACAGATAAGCCATCTCAATCAATGCAGCCACCTGCAATCCTTTCTCCAACCCCCTACCCTCCCCCTCTCCCCTCCCTCTCCCCTCTCTGCTCAGACGCTCTCCTAGAGCACGCCGTCAGTGTGCTGGGCGCAGCCACCCGCCGCTACCACCCACTACCCGCCATCGTCCAACCCTCCGTTTGGAAACAACCCTATCGACCCCAACTTCCCAACTAACCCAACCTCCGCTTGCCCGTCGTGCTGCTGCAATTGCTACTGCTCCTGCTACAGCCCCCCCCCCACCTCGAAGTAAATGGAGGTAGCCGAGATCTTCTTCGTGTCGGTCTGGTACCCGTGACTGAGGTGACCGCCGTGGGGCAGATCCAGAGCCATGATTCGGTCGTGGGGCTGGAGGAGGGCCGTGTAGACCTGCAAGCGGGGGAGGAGGGAGAAGGTAGGCGTTTTAAATACTCATTCGGGCCCACTCTTTTGCTCGCGCGCCCCCACTCGCTCGCTCGCCCGCCCCCCCCCACTCGCTCGCTCGCCCGCCCCCCCTCACTCGCTCGCTCGCTCGCCCCCACTCGCTCGTTCGCTCGCCCCCACTCGCTCGCTCGCTCGCCCCCACTCGCTCGCTCGCTCGCCCCCACCCACACGCTCGCTCGCCCCCACTCACTCGCTCGCTCGCCCCCACTCACTCGCTCGCTCGCCCCCACTCACTCGCTCGCTCGCCCCCACTCACTCGCTCGCTCGCCCCCACTCACTCGCTCGCTCGCCCCCACTCACTCGCTCGCTCGCCCCCACTCACTCGCTCGCTCGCCCCCACTCACTCGCTCGCCCGCCCCCACTCACTCGCTCGCCCGCCCCCACTCACTCGCTCGCCCCCACTCGCACGCACCTGGAAGTTAGCCGGAGATCCCGACAGCGACTGCACATTGACCCCCCAGTTGGCCGGATCCAGGCGGAAGGCCTTCAGGGCGCGATCCTGTGTGCATGGGCCGAGGTGGGTTTGGTCGGAAAGATGATTGGTAACGATGATGACGAGCTGGGACACCGGGCTGGTCTGGAGAGAGGGTGGTAGCGGTTGTGGTGGTGGTGATGTTGGGGGTTTGGTAGGAAGGCCATAGCAACCTCTTACGGCTTGGGCCAAATAGGTGCACCGGGCTGCACAACTTCACATGAATCCAACAGACACAGCCGCATGTTGGGTACTTGGAATCTTTCATAGACCCCACGCGCGATCTCTCTAACTCCGTTGCAATGGGGATGGCTCCCTTGCTGGACTTACGCCCGACAAGCCATGATGCCTTTAGTAGCGCGACTATGTGTCGTACTGTCGTACGTTGAAGATATGAGTCAAGGTCAAATGTATCTTACTCAAGCCGATCACCTGGCAAAGCCGCTCAGCCATGTCGATGAACTCGTTGCCACCGTAGTACCGGGCGCCGGGGTAGCCTTCCGAGTATTTGTTCGTCATGACTGAACCCACGGCCTCCATGACCGAGGATGACACGAAGTTCTCCGACGGAATTAGCTCAAGACCCTGTGGTTTGCACATGCGGCATGTTCAGGGCAATCCCGAAGGCTAAATCGCTGCTGATCCGATTTTCCGCCGGGGCAAAACCTGCATCTGTAGCCAACCGCACCTTGAACTGGCGATTCTTCTCTTTTTCAATAATATCGTAGAGATCCGGATCCACTTCCGCAAGAGAAGCGTTAAGCACCTTGGGCCACTGCAATACGACCGAGGGATGCGTTGGTCGTGCCGAGGCCGGGTGCATGAACGTGGAAGCATAGCGTACTTACAGTGACATGCGCTCGGCTCGTGTCCTGCGAAAATCGGCTGTATTCTTCCTCGTTTGAAAGCGCCGGCTGCGGGCAAACAGGTGTGTGTCAGGCGAAGCCCGACCGAGTCGCCCACTGAGCACGACCCTCAAAAAACGTGCTAACCTGTGCCGCGAACCAACGTTGCTGCACCAGCTCCTGTAGCAAATTACAGATCGGTCCCAGGGGAAAAGATTGCGCCATGCCCAAACGCGGAAAGCGGGAAAAGCCATGAAAACTCACGGTGCTCTGCCGTGCCGACAGCGCCCTAAGGACCAGCTTAGCACCCTTAATGCGCAACATGATTACAAGTTTCCTAACAAGTTACAAGGTCGCACTGAAAGTGCCACATCCTCAATTCTACCACTGCTGGCTTCGGAGCCGACCCACCGTCCGGCAAACATTAAGAGGAAAGCTGTTCAGCTCATCATATAGATATCGCATTTCTTTTGTTGAGGATGGCGCTTAGGCGAGTCATAATGACCGCAACAGTTGCCGACGGGCTGAGATGGTCAGTCGCTTGAGCCAACCGGTCAGGAAAACTCAAAATTGAGACTGGTCCCAGGTTGTTTCGTCAAGTAAGAGAGGTATCGGGTTGCTGCGGCTTACGAGTGCGTCGAAAGCGACAACTTGGCCGGAGCGAGTTAGGTTGAACCGCTTTGATTCTACTTCCACTCAACCCACTCGGACCGGAAGGAACTCTGCCGTGCTAGGATACTGAAGATCTGCCTTAATTGCGGTTGCTGCTGTTGTGTTCGGCACCGGTAACACGCAAGCGCGCTGTTCCGCTCCCGCTGTTCCAAGGCGCCCTAAGTCAAAAGACTAGGCCAGCAGAGCCAATAGCGCACGACCCACATCACACCAACAAGTCTTTTTATTTATCACGCACTTAAGCCAGCTGAGATGCTCTGATACGACCTGCTAGCAGGGAAACAACAGTTTAGGGCTCTGGGGGAAGCCAACACGCAGACACCGGAATGGAAAGCGATGAAATTCCTTTCGGAACACTATGGCCCGGTTTATGGGTCCCGGCAATCTACACCAGCACCCCTTAAATCAGCAAATGTCGTGCTCTCGCTCGTGCACGTGCACGTCGTCATGCCCCCCCGAGCATGTCCCCCCACACGTGTTGTCGAAAGCCCCGAGCGGATCCCCCCAGTCATACACGCAGGCGCATGCAAACAGCCCCAAGGTCTTTGGATACGTTGGCTTGGACGCCGCCGTGACTCCGAGGCATTGCGATACGACGATGCAGCACTCCAAAGCCCACATGTCTGAGGAACGAAACAGGCTAGCACATTCACCCGTTCGCGCCCATCTCGTCATCATGGGTATAGAACACCCAGCCCCGGCCCAGGTGTTGCCCATTGTGCTGCCACTGGCCAGCGCCACTTGGCGGCTTCAATTCCAAAATTCGCCATGGACGGAGGGGCTCCCAGGCTGCAGCAGCGGAACAGGAGGGCCTATAACAGATGGACATAGGGATGGACCCACTCAGCTCACTGTGTCAGGTTTTCCGCCCTAACCGGCGCGGGCCGCGCCACGGGGCATTGGGGAGGTGTGAGTGGAAGGTGAGGCTTTAGCTTCAGCTTCGGGGGGCCAACTACCATTCGTCCATCGTACTTGTACATACATCTTTCACATGGTAGAGAACCTCAGCCAGACGACACATGCACCGTGGAGTCCTCATCAGTATGTGGCGACATGAAGCGGTACCCTGTCTTGTGGCAAATTTTAAATAATCGTATAATAAAAACTTGTGTAACAACGTATACAAATTTTGTGCCACTCGGTGCGGTGCACTGGAATGCATGTATGTGGTTAAAGGCGCAGATGGGAATATGACGTCGCCCCGCATGTCTGACTGTGTGTGGTGTGAAGGTGCGCTCTTTTTACTGCCATGAGGCTCCAGCAGGCTCCTCTCCGAGGGGGCCCCACCACACGCCGCTCACCGCCATCGTCAGCACCGCCGCCCCCACATCCCGCACATTGTCACACACAGGCACCTACTAAGTCCCCCAAGTCCCCCCAGGCCCCACACGGTTACATCACACGTATGGCACCACACCCATTTCCTTTCCAATAATCGCCGTGATCACCACCTAAGGTGCACCGCGCGCGTCACCGCGACTTAGGCCGCGCTGCTGCCGCGCCTTTCGCCCTTCACTACTGCTCATTCGTCCGCGAATCACTCCTCCTACGGCGTCACTCCAAAGGTTCTTCGAAGCATGCATACGCACACACACACACACTGTTGTAGCGCCTTATAGCGTTACAGACCTTAATCGCTGCGTGATTAAGGCATGGCTTGATAAGACTGAGCTACGAACAGTCTACGAATATCTTAGAGTTCAGACGTGCTTCCTTTCCAAGGAGTGACACGCACTTGAGATACCTGCAGACTCATCGGTTCGAGCAACCAATGTAGATCTGAAGAGACGTCGTACAATAGAAGTTGTTACGGCCTCCTAAGCAACGAGTATTTATACTCGGGAGGAAGCCTGGGATTAGACATCAACCTAACAACACACCAGTGGGAAGGATTCCAGAAGCTTACACTTCTGACGCCCCTACTGAAGAACGAACCCAGTCCTTGACGGAGCGAATCCGTCCTGTAACCTGTCGGCTCTCGCCGCTATATCACGCGCTAACACACACACACACACACAGACAGACATGCATACGCCCGCGGGTGGGTTCCATAAACCACGCATGCACAAAAGCACACGCGCGACACTCAGTCCTATGTACCAAGTTTTTAGTAACGCTCTTGTCAGTAAATATGCAAAATATCCCCTAACACCCTCATGTGCTCGAGAGACCTTATGCACCGCACGCGCTCACCCCCAGCCCAATCCCCAGTGAGTCCCATTCCATCATTTCTAATGACATGACAAACAATGATTACGATGATCACCACCAGTACCGCTGAACGATATGCTACGCTACGCCCGCTTAGGACCTCTTGTTGTTCTCCATCCTCGCGCATTTCGGTATCACCCAGATCCGCGGCGCCCCTCCTCCTCCAAAACCCCAAAGCCAAACCCCTGGCATGCGCCCCCTCGCGGTCGCTATTGGAGGGTTGCCGCTCTATCTTCCCCCTCCCCCCCATTCCACCGCTGCTCGCACACAGCTTTGCTAGCTACTACCCGCCACAGTCACATAAGCTCTCACGCACGCGTCCTCAAGCGACCGTATAAGGCCCCATTGGTGAAGGCAGGCGATGCAAACCTTGGACTTAGCGCATGGACTTACTTCCGCACGCCGATGTGACGACGACGCCGATGAAGGCGTCATCGATTGCGACTGATAAGGACACATGGGGCATCATCACAATGTGCGCAGTATAGTTTAGCAGCTAGGGAGCAGGAGATGCGGTTGCCCACCGTTCCTTACCACCGCTCCTTCCTAATAGGAACATTACCATGCACCCACCATGCACCCACCATGGTCAGCAGTGGGGGCAGCCCCCACTTGACTAATTGGGACCAAACAGCGCCGCTGCCGAACCTAATAAAAGTGCTACTATTGCTGCCCAAAAGTGCGATACTTATCGCGCAGAGAAGTGAAATATGCTATCCACATTTACGCCTCACACACACACGTGTGCCGCTGCTGCTACTTCCCTAGCCGCTCTGCCAGCCAGTCGATGCCCTTGTCCACACCCTCGCCGGAAAGACCGTTGGAGGGAACGATTTGCCAGGGCCGGTCCTTGATGTAGTCCAGACCCAGGGCCTGCCGGGAAACACGGGGACACACAGCAGCGCCGTAGCGGGTTCCGCACGGTGGAGCGGTTCAGCGGTAAATAGGACTATAAATTGTTTTTGCCTGGTTGAAGAACCGCCGGTGACATGCTCTCTAATGAGGCGAAGGGGAGCCCTTAACTGCGGCCCACGGTCCGGAATAGAGGAGTCCGGGACCTCCCACCACTTTAGAGAAGGCAAAAGGGTTCAGGCCATGCAACTTGTGAAGGGGTACATTCAGGACTGGGCCGCCATGCGTATGCGCGATAAGAGACCCCACAAACGAGAACCCTGTTGGTCGCAAAGCTGGAGGGGCAGCTGCACCCGGCATGGAGCCAAACCCGCCAACCCAACCCACGCCCTTTCCCTCCTCCCCACCTGCGCGATTTCCACAGGGGGCATGGCCACAGGCAGGTCCTTTTTGTTGGCGAAGAACAGCACCGGCACCTTTCGCATGTTGGGGTGGGCCAACATGTGCTCCATCTCGTCACGCGCAACCACCCTGCGACGTTGTGTTAGCGGTCAGCATGCGTAAGTGCTATTATGTACAGCAGCCCTTGAGCCGCAGCTGTGAACGGAAAACAGACTTGGCGCCAGGAAGCGTAAGAAGGTTTGGTGGCCATCGAGTCATGATGGCAATGTCACCATAACCGCTGTCGATGCTGTCGATTTTGTACTGGAAAGCCTCGGGCATATTCACCGCCCGTGTATTGAAAGGGTTCCTCTGGGCCGCCTGCTGTGACCATGTCCCAGAACCCCCAATCACCCCCAGAATCCGCCGACCCACATGCGCAGTTTGTCGGCCGAGTCCACCACGAAAATGACCGCGTCTGCTTCCTGGTAGTACTGCTCCCACAGGGTGCGGTACCGGCCGGCACCAGACATGTCGAACACGGTGAAATTCAGTGGCCTGCATTGATGACGCAGGCAAGCGGGTTAGATTTTGCCAGGTTAGATTGCAGTTCGGTATTTCAGGAATACTTTTTTCAAGTTGTTTTGCGTCACGTGCTGGTGTGGGGCTGTTTTCGACCTCGTGTTATAAGCCGGATGGAACAAAGGGTATTGAGTTGATGCCCATACGGAAGACTTTGCGCCTTGAGTTACGGCACCACACGGTAGCGGTGCCCGCCAACCCACCCCTTTTGTAGGTCGTCCACGGCGAAGCCAACCGTAGGCGCAACCTCCGCGCTTTGCTTGGGTCGTGGCTGCGGGAAGCATGCACGGCCACGTGAGTCACGATTTGAACGCGTAATGCGTACGTACCCGGTTGCTGGGGGGGTCCTGGGGTTGTGGGGTCCTGGGTGCCACCATCCCATCATCACATCGCTGTGCCAACCTTGTTGCACGCACCTTTAGACGTTCGATGATAGTTGTCTTTCCACTGTTGTCTAAACCCACAACAAGTACGTTCACCTGTCGCGACAGTGAACACGCGTGTACTGCATCTGAGGCATGCATGACCGGAAACTCTGGCCTGCCACGAATTGAGCCTACCTTCTTCCCCGACATCCCGAGAAACGAGAGCAGTTTATCGAAGAGCCCCATGGCGCCCCTAGGTCCTGGCAGCTGTCGCCTCGAAGTCCAGAAGGTAAAGCAGATGCAACGAATATAATGATAAATGCAACTGTCCTCTCCTTTAGGTTTAAGAATGCTGGAAAACGCAAAAAGGACTTTTCTTGTCCGCCTTATGCTTGGAGGCTACCTAAAAGTAATCAATTTCCACATAGCATGTCAAGGCCGGCACATAAAGCAGCAAAGCAATTGATCTAGTAAAGCATTTTGCTCATGACCTATTGGTTGACTACCTCTAATCCAGGGCTCGTACAACGTCCTAACGTATCGCCATCGTTATCGTGGGGAACTCGCAAGATGGAAGTCGTCGCGAGTTACGCAGCGGCCGCGGTATTCGGCCCAATCGGAAGGGCTTGTCTGAGCTTGGGAAGTACCACTTCATACAGTACACTCCGTCGCACGTACAAGCAATAGGGACGGCGATGCATGCCGAGTAGCTAGCGTAGGCGTAGCAAACTATATGCCAGTGGCTTGATTGGAACCAGACTGGCCAAAAAATGAACATCGACTTCAACACTGTTTTGAATACATTGGCTGCCAAAGCCAAGGCGCTGGCGCTTAATGTCACGGAGATTGAGGTGAAGAGGGACTGTATCTAATCAGGCGCTGTCTTGTTTCACCGTTTATGACTGCGCAATCGCATGTGTTTCGATCTTCCATTTACCAGTTGAAAGTACTCGAAGCGACAAATGAGGAGCCATGGGGTCCACACGGACAGGCTATGCAAGGTGTGTGCGTGCGCGAGCGTCCGCATATTGAGAACGACCGGCTCTATTTAAACAGCGGCCTGTTGCGCGCTGCTCCTGGCCACAGAGATTGCTAGAGCAGCGGAAGACCCCGAAAAGTACAACCTTATAATGAATGTGATCAGCGAGCGCCTTCAAATGAGGGACGAGAATTGGAGGTTGTGCTACAAGGCGCTCTTGCTCCTGGAGTATATGGTGAAGCATGGCCCCTGGGTAAGGAATCCATTTCCAGGAAGGGAACAAAACTCAGGGAGGGGGTTTCGGCTTGGGGGTATTGCTGAACACCTCCAAGATTTTGGTTCCCTAAAGGTGTTGTTGGTCAGGCGCCCTCCCCGCGCCCTTCCGAACTTCTCTTACGGCATCCACACCACACGCTGCACACAACACGATTGTGTCGGCTCAACGTCACGAAATTCAACGCGAGCACGTGCGTATGAAACTCGACCCTGCACTGGAGCTGCCGCGGCCGCGGTTCATGACGTCCGGACGGATCGCTAGTTGTGGCGGAACACACACAACACACACACACACACGCACACACCAGCTGCGTTCTCGCTTTCTCACCTCTGCCCTTGCTTTCTCACCACCTACCAACCCGCCATCTCCCAACCCGCACCTGGCCCAGCGCGTTGTGGACGAGCTGAACCGCAGCGTGTCCTCCCTGGAGCGTCTCCGGGACGACTTTGAGTTCAAGGACCCGCAGGGGCGCGACCAGGTGACAGGGGGGGTCCAGGGAGGGTCCAGGGGGGGGGGCTCACTCCCTCTGGCTAGGTGAAGGTAGTGTCTCCCGGTGGTAGTGGCTCCAAGGACGTGGCCTCCCCCCCTGGAGGACCCCAACAGGGGGAACACAGTCCTAGGACTGTGTGGAGGGGGGGGAAGATGATACTGCGGGGATGTTATGGTGAACGGAAACCAGCCTGCCAACACTCCCAGCTAGATAAGCCGGAGTGGGCTTGCTGCTGTATGAGACTAATGAATGCCACGTGGCGTGGCGACGTACCGCTACTTCTTGTCCGGAAGAGAGAAAGCGATCACGAAGCGATTTCAATGCGCTGTGATGGCATACTGCCTACCGGCAAGTGTGTGTGTGTCTGTGTGTGTGTCTCTTAGTTGCAGGACGTAGTGCGGTGCTATTTTGTTGACATCTAATCCTTA